CCAGAGGGTTAATATGGGGTGCAAAATCGAACTTTGAAGCCTCCTTATGACGTACTTCAAATACGTCGTTAGGTCGAGTTGATCGTAGCCATATTGATGATTATAGCTATTTGGAATATTAACGTTCGTTTAAAAATACCTTATAAATTTGAAGTCAGAAACGCTAAAAATCCTCAATAACCAGTTTCCATGCAAATTTAACTACTTTTGGAAATTTTAATCAATTTTAATTCCTATTCTGATTTTGTAAATGTTAAATTCAATACAAAGTCAGTAGTTCGAAAAACTATCGATAGCCAATTATTAAACACATTGGATGAGGACTACGTGTATCCAGATATGAAAATTTATATTGAAAATTGCACAGTATCACAATAGTTTGATCATTTGAAATTTAAAAAATTTGATTTTAGATTTAAATTTAGAGACCCTAAAAACTTCCTCGTACCAAATTTCATTCAAATTGAACAATAAATGATATTCTGTACTTCGCTTCGACGAGGTGTTGTCTATACATATAGAACACTATGCTTCAAAGGGTTAACAGAAAATAAATGTTAAATGGGCATTACTCAGTTTCATCATAATCAACACTTCAAGGAATCAATCACAAGGAAAATATTTAAATAAATATTATACAGGGTGAATCACGAATCGTGATCAGTAGAAAGTACTTTGTTATTAGCAGTCCGATCGAAAATGTTTTTATCAGCTTTTGCATGATTTCAAGAGAGCTTTAACGTGATAATGAAAAATTACTGGTCAACTCTTTTTTAAATATTTTTTCAAGGTTACCTTGAATTTTTTGCAACTGAACATATAATTTTTTTACGCCTGTCTGTTAGAGGATTTCAAGACGAATTCGGCACATGTAAGGACATAACATTGTTTTCATCTGATTCGAAAGAAAATTAAAAAACTTTGTATCACAAGGAGAATCACAGCTGCGCCGTTATTACGCAACCAATGTTGTTGACAAGTCAAAATTTACCAATCTTAATTGTAGCGATGTTCAAAATGGTGTCCACGAGCTGCAATGCACTCGCGTAGACGGTGAACAAAAGATTGTTTTGCATTCTTTATGGCCTCTACACTGATGGTTGAGCATGCATCCGCAATCCTTCGTCGCATATCTTCCGGTGTTGTTGGAGCATGTGCACAAACTTTGTCTTTTAATGTACCCCACAAAAAGTAATCTAATGGAGTAAGATCTGTAAGTAATTTTGACTTGTCAACAACATTGGTTGCGTAATAACGGCGTAGCTGTGATTCTCCTTGTGATAGAAAGTTTTTTAATTTTCTTTCGAACCAGATGAAAAAAAATGTCATGTCCTTACATGTGCCGAATTCGTCTTGAAATCCTCTAACAGACAGGCGTAAAAAAATTATATGTTCTGTTGCAAAAAATTCAAGGTAACCTTGAAAAAACATTTTAAAAAAGAGTTGACCAGTAATTTTTCACTATCACGTTAAAGCTCTCTTGAAACCATGCAAAAGCTGATAAAAACATTTTCGATCGAACTGCTAATAACAAAGTAATCTCTACTGATCACGATTCGTGATTCACCCTGTATATGCACGAAGAAAAATTGGCTTTTACTTTCAGGCACAAAAACTCCGAAATCTGGGTATTGAATCCTCTAATTTGTATAACACTGTGAAGACACGTGAAGAGTATGACAATAATTTACATACCGATGATCATTAATACTCATACTTAATACATAATTTAATATTTTTACGAGTCACTAAAAAACTATGACAAGTACATATCTGCTTATTTTTTATAAGGTCTTCGCTACTCTTTTATATTACTACTGCTTCTCATATTTAATTATGATTTAATGCTCATTTAATAATTAATAAAACTTTAGGTGATGCCTTATCGAGTACTACTTGGCGGATCCATGCCAGGAATTCCAAAGTACTTTCTCTGAATGTACTAACAGTATTCTAAGACTATATATTTGTTATTAGGCTTTTACCGTGGTTATTTTTAACGAGTTATAGTTAATATGCTGTATGTAGGTTTTGAGTTTGAAAACTGAAAACACCTAAAGTTTTATTAATTATTAAATGAGTATTAAATCATAATTAAATATGACAAGCAGTAGTATTATAAAAGAGTAGCGAAAACATTATACGAAATTTTGAAAATACGCTTAAAATGCTGGGCCAGTGCCAGATCATATAATAGGCAGATATGTAGTGACTTATGTACTGGATTTAAATACTTTATGTTAGAAGAATTCACAGCACTACTGTACTTGGCATAGTTTTTTACACATCAGTGTTCTTTGGGGGGTTTTATTTTAGTAGTATAGTACTTTCAAGTTTCTGACCATTAGCTGATATCACTGGCAGCTATATTCGATAGGAATCAAAAGTTCATATGTTGGTAGTGGCCCGATTGATGAATTATATTAATAACGCAGACTTCTACATATATACTACTAGACCGCTAACTCGCTTGCTGGCTGCGAGGCAAAGTAGAGGGGAGATCGGACGCCATTTTTTGTATGGCATTCCATATTCTAGGTGGGGAAAGTAAATAGGAGACGCCGATCACTTGTTCCGTGATTTCGACGTTTCCACGTTTTCCGAGCAGACGTATTTGTGTACGTAAAATCGGAATGATAGACTAAATAATTTGATAAATATGAAGAAACAAATCAGATAAGCCGATGTCAAACAAGGGGAGGCACACATCTTAAATATTACGAAGACCATATCACTTACAGTCTTCCAAATAGCTAAGTGGATAAAATGTTGGCTTAGTAAACGTAAGGTTCGGGATTCAAATGACGGCATTTTTTATCCGATTTGCGGTACAATTTCTAAAATAGCAGTAAAAGTTCTCTCTTTCCTCTTTAAATATTAAAAGAGAAGAGTTTTACTGGATATAATCACTAATTACACGCGCCAATGCCAATGCGACGCACTTGTCCCACTGAATAGTGTCGGGTGTCACACCGATACACTAACCCACTCACAAAGGATGAGGGTCCATAAGGCCGGTTTTCGGCCCAAATCTAATTTGGGTAAAAATGAATAAAATAACTTCCTGTAGTAACTACTGTAAAAATTAAGTCGATTCCACCCTAAACGAACCACCCCCAACCCCCGTAGCATCTCGATATACTCCTTATAATAGTGAAAATACCATCACGTAAATAGCAGCATTTTTGGAAAGATTCGTCTTTAGTAGACTAGTATTTTCTTATTAATTCATTTTAAATTATTTTTTTACTACTTTTACTCTTATCTATTATTTTTAGCCTTTTTACCCCCTTGGTGGAGAGTGGAGGGGGGTAGAAAAGCAATGGGTGGGCTCTTAATACAGTATCTGTACTTTTACGTGTGACATATGATTTCCGATGAATTTTTCTCTTGTAATTACGAATCCGTGCTAATAACCTTCAGAAAATGGAGGGTTTTGAAAATCGTTGGATCTACACACAGGTATGAGGTTGTGTGCTAAGACTGTAACTCAATATCTTTAACGTGTGTTTGCAACCAGGGCACCTCCACGTGGTGACGGTGGGCAACGAAGTTGTCCCACTATCCGGCAAGGGGGTAAAAAGGCTAAAAATAATAGATAAGAGTAAAAGTAGTAAAAAAATAATTTAAAATGAATTATAAGAAAATACTAGTCTACTAAAGACAAATCTGTCGTGACGAATCTAGACACGAACATGTCTAGTTTACATCATTTTAATACTTTTTGTTAGAGGAATTCACAGCACTCCTGTACTTGGTTTTTTTATGTAGGTTTTTTTTTGGGGGGATATCACAAAGAAAATACTAGTCTACTAAAGACAAATCTGTCGTGACGAATCTAGACACGAACATGTCTAGTTTACATCATTTTAATACTTTTTGTTAGAGGAATTCACAGCACTCCTGTACTTGGTTTTTTTATGTAGGTTTTTTTTTGGGGGGATATCACAAGTTTCTATTGCTCAATGGGATATATTAAAGAAGTTCAAATCTATATTGTTATAGATATAAAATGTAAATATATTGCGATGTCGCTAATCAGAAAAATATATTGCGTTGTGGAAAATGTTAAAAGGCACATCAATTTAATTTATTTCAATTTTTTTAGAAATACATAAAAATATATACAAATTTAAAAATAAAATATAATCTTGAATGCAGATAAGCGTCATTAATGACATCCAGCTTGTTGACGCCGTGTGGTGAAGGTAAAATAGGAGTGTGTACATACACATGTCACCGCAGGGTTACAGGAAATCCCCCTCTCCCAACTCCCAACACATCACCACTGTAGCATAGAGCGACAGTTACTTCTTACTGATAACGTATAAATTGAAATAGGCGGGAATTGATTTACCCTTTCCTCCCAATCACAATATATTTAAACGAGTATAGTAGGTGCTTTCTAATTACGAATACAAATTGACACATCGCAAAATAAAACTCACATAGGTCAACAAAGAACCTTTGGTCATTGTGTCGTTTAATCGAACCTAGTATTATTCATGAATATTCCGATACTGCAAATTCAAATATAAATACACATTTTGCCCATTTATTCACTTCTGTAATTTATTTTCTAAGCATGGGATAAGACATAAATAATACATTTGTAAGAATCCAAGGGAATCCGTAGAATGTTTATGATGATATAAATATCTTATAAGTACATATTTGAACTTACAGGTGCATGAGCGGTATAGTCTAGTTAGGGAAGCGTAAAAACAAACAAAATGTATAATGACTATTCAAAGTTCGAGGCGGTTTATTAGTATAACTAAATTTATAAAGAGCAATAAATTTTAATGTTTTAAAACATGTATTCGAGGATAACGAGGTATACATACTTTTAAGAAATGATTTCTCCTGTTCTTCTTGGTTCTTTGTTAAGTTTATATATATTAAAGGATTTTGGTCTTTATTCAACAAGTACTTATGCAGGTGTCAAGCGACTGTGGGACTAATCAACTAGCGCACTCTATGTGAACAATTCAGAAACAGAACTAGCGTTTCAAAAAATTCACTGCCAATACTGCGAGCATAGTTGTCTGGTTATGTATCACTCCGAAATTTATGAAAAATGGTTTTTCTTTGCGTTCGTTTTCACAATAACAGTAGTAATAAACAATAACAATAAAAATTCAACATCATAGGATAAAGCCATCAGGAGTGGAAGGAAGGAAGGAAGAGAAAGTTAACGTTGTCTAATTGCATAATTGAAAGTAGAAGATCCATTATTCAATAAATAATATTTGAATTATGGATGAATTAAACAAATTGTCGGCGGCTGTAGATTCTCTACACGAAAAGATAAGTGAATTTCCCATAGGTGCTGTATCTTTTGAGGATTTTAAACCTACTGAAGAGAAAATCAAGGATACCAGGGAGTTGTTGAAGGCCCTTAATGCTAAGCTTCTGATGCTTCAATGTAGAAGAGATACCGGTAACTATAATTACTATATTTGATTTAATTTACTATATTTCCATCTTACAGAAATGTATCATAGCTTTAGATTCCACGGAAAAGGTTGTGGAAGAAGAAATTGGACAGAAAATAGAGAGACTACACGAAGCACTGACGAATTCATTTATAAATAATAAAACTGTTGAGTTATCCCTTCATAGCAGTGCTGTGATTGAAATCATTTCTGAGGGTCATGAGTTTCCTGCATTACAAAAGTAAATATGTATATTGTTGTATGCAAAATTTTAATGTACAAATTTCTATAGTATAATCGTTGTAGGAAAACCGAGGAGTACATGCAAAAAATATTTTCACTCAACGATAAGGTATATTCAATCCAAGAGTCATTACAGAAAGCTTTGACACAACAAATTGAGGCAAAAATAGAATTTTGGAAGGCTATATATGCGTACCAAGACTTTTTGAAGGAACAGCAGGAGCTTCGAGACGAAAAACTTCAGAAAACAAATCCTGAAATTGCAAAGTAATTAAACTACCAATTCTTTTGATATCTCATATTATTGAATTTCTAATTTGTTGTTTATTTTTATACGTTTCAGAAGTAAGAATAAAATGGAGAGAACATTGAGAAAAATAAATTTAATGAAAAAACTTATAACAAACCTAGTAGCAACATCGGAATACCTTATAAAAGACAATCCAGTACTAGTTCAAATGCTGAAAGATCATTGTGATCCAGTTAGTATAGAAACAATTCTAGAGATGTGTCATGCTCGCGATAGTAATACTTGAGGTTTAAAGGAAAAAATCGTTGATATAGCATATAATATTTGTATTTTTTTAAATAAATGCTTTCACATATTGTTATAAAATATACTTAGTCAAAATGCTTTCCAAGCTCTAAATAATTTAAAACACTAATAGTATTAGATAAAAATCATAACTAAAAGTATTAAAAAATGTATAGAAAACCATGAAATATGTGGGTTATTTTTAAAATTCTTTGATTAGTCAGTCTGTGTAGACTGATGAGCTCTTGCTGGGATAGGCAGTACCGTATCACCAACCGACAAGGAACCTTGTGTAAATCTCTGAGTCTCTGAAGAAACGCCTCTAGTGACAGCAGCCTGATTCGCTTCCAGTGTTCTCATTCTGGCAATAGGTTCTCTGGCTTTGATTTTGTACCAACCACGCTGTCTTTTAGCAAGTGGACTCCAAGATTCACTCTCTGTCTCGGGTGTATCACGTTGACGCGTAGGCATTATATCGACGATATCCCTTGGACGTTTTCGAGATACGACAGAAGATGTAGAGGGTGGAGTGACGAGAATGGATTCTGACGTCCAAGATCTGGATAGTGACTTTGCGCTCTGGGATATTGGTTCTCTGCAAATGTTTCTGAAAGTTCCCACACCTGGTGAAATATAAAATAATAAACTACAGATACTGCAACGTATTACACTAGATTTTAATCAATACAAATTTAATAATAAATTACCAGTAAGATTACTAAAAGCGTATTTCATAGCTTGGGCTACTGCTGAAAATATTCCACCCGCAGCAGAGATCTCTGAAACCTGGGACTTGGTAGAAACCTCTGGAGAATTTGAGAAATGTTTCACACTAGATTGTCTATAACTGTCCAACGATGTAGATCTTCTAAGACTTTTGGAAGCGGACGTTTGACTTGCAGAAAGATTAGATATCACTGAAGAGTAAATACTTTCTGAAGATCGTTCTTCGAGTTTTCTTATGCTAGAATCTATCAAGGGGGCCAAGCTAGAAGGAGATAGTTCGCCAGTGTTTTCCACGAGGACCATCATCACAACCCGTGACGAACTCGCGAGCCTGCTGTTGGTTTCCGGTGAATGTTTTGGAGGAATTTCATTACTATCAATGTTCTCCTTTTCAGCATTTCTCTCGTTTTCGCGATTCATCTGTGCTTTGTTTAATGATGATTGACCCGTCGACATACTGTCTGCCATTGTCTCACGAGCGTCGTAAAACTCGTTCTCAGTAATGTCGAAACTTCCAGTGGTAATAAACTGATCTGAGAATCGAACTCTCTTAATAGACTCTCTTCTTTCTTTTTTAGACTTGTTCGATCCCGATGTGACATCCGGCGGAGTAGGAAGTTCACCTCCGTTAATATCGCGTGCCAATAATATATCACTACCTTGTACATCAGTTAATTCCATATCCTGAACCTCCTCCTGCATTGCCCCCAACTTCCATCCAGAATTGATGATACCTTCCTTTCGAGAATCCTGCCCCCTTACTCTTTGAGAAAATGGTAATGCGGATCTTAAAGGAGTATCTTCTCCCTTAGAGTTGGCCTTCCAAAGCTGCGAGAAACTCACAAAATGTGTATCCCAACTATCTTTAGAGCTGCCATCAACGTTTTGCGAGTCCTCAGCTTTTCTTTCCGTCAAGGAAGGCGTTTTTGGCGTTTTGAATGAGAAATTGGGCGTCTTTGCTATCTTATACTCACAATTCGTATTCTGCCGGACAACTTCGCCATGCATTGGCGTACTTGTATTCCTGGAAAGTTCAGGTGGCGAAGTGAAGCTACCAAAATTACCAGTATACTCTCCGTCCAAAGAACCCTCTTTTCGCGTATAAGTTTTAAGAGGACCTGACGTCTTTGTACCTAGGGGTGATGGTGTCACTAGTAAAGTTTTTTTCACACTCCACAGTCGACATCTTCCCAAGGACTGTAGATCCTCGATGCTCCGGAACTCATCGCCACAGAATTTACAGTACAGTGGAAGATGATTGATTACCACGTGACACAGGAATTCTGGATCCTCGAAATAACGCGTTTGTACATCCTTCCGTCGGCAAAAGAGACAATTGGGTCCGTGAACGGGATGATTTTTCTTTTCGTGTTTCCTTCGACATTCAATGCAGCAGAATACCTTCTCACAATATCCACAACGATTTTTCTAAAGACAGAGAAAAGTGGATCTTCAGTATTAAAACTCTGTCTAGTTTCACTAACGATTTTCTTATACCTCCAACGATTTCTTCATGATACCAGAATACGGTCGCTTATTAAATACACTATTTACCAAACAATATAACAGTCCTTACTGTAAAGACTTACAAGTCACTTTGACATTGTTTTTGTTATTAAGACGGCTGTTCACCTACGTCAATATCTGCACGCGGGTAAGGAATAATTACGTCAGAAGCAATTAAACCTTTGCAACCTTTTTCTTCTGTTTTCAAATAATTTGGTACATTATTAGTTTACCCACCTACCTTGCACAACAAAAAAATCTGGTCATCTGTATTTAAAATTCACAAAATCTTGTTTTCAAAAATAATGTCTAAGAAATAGACCTGTCAGATCTTCATAGCGGCTATCCTTATTACCTACTTCATTTTTTTACATTTTTCTTTACTGAAACGCAAATGACCGGTCTCCCTTGTCATATAAGAAAAGTGGCTGAATCGATAATTGGACGAATTAATGAAAAACGTAGGAGAAAAGTCATTGTAAAGATTTAAGAGCAGCTAATAGAAACAGATGCAAATTAATGTTTTGCATCATATTATATGATATACTCTATAGCTATATAATTATTATTACGTACTCTAACCGCGAAATCCACCTACTAACATATAAAATCAGTAAATAAATAAATATATTTAGATGCGAATTTTATTTTTACTTTATGCAAAATTAAGGATCTTTACATGATATGAAAATCAACAAAAGATTCAACAAGGTCGAATTTTTCAATAGGACCTTCATCTTCTTCGTCTTCTTTTTTCCGATTGGGCGTCGTCGCTAGATCATTTTTTGCTTCCTCGGTTATCTGTTTGTTACACGGCGAAGATTCACATTTAGATGCAGTATTATGAATTACAATACTAGCGTCAGCTTTTTTTAGATTAACGTTTTCCTTTTCAGCCAATGCAATGGCTTCCGCGTATGGTGGCGAAATTGGCAACTGAGTTGGTTCATGATATTTATATTCCTTGCCTTCAAACTGTAAAGTTTATTTTACAAAAGAATACAAATAATTATCTTTATAAATATATGCCAATAAAAATGATAATAAGAAACTTACATTCAATGGATAACACGTATCCGAATCCGGCTGATCCAAGTCTCCACAGACGACAAATGGGATTACGTAACGATTAATTCCGGTTAATGAAGCTAGTTTTGTGGAATTGTATTTCTCTAAGAACGAGGCTAATTCATTAGGTACATAGCCCTCTGGAGGTGAATAATTTTTGCATATTATGAATGCCTCTATACTAGAATTGCGTGAACTACTTGGTTTTGCACAAGAGACTTCAGCAAAAAAGACTTTTAATTGACAATATAATGTTGACACATCCTTGGCTCTGAATATTTTTGCTACAAACGTTCCACCAGATCGAAGAATAAGAGTGGTGATATTCAAAGCAGCTAAAAGCAGTTCAGACTGAATGAATATATCCATGTCGTGAAGTCCAGTAACTAGGATATTAAGAAAACAAGGATTAGAACATGCGAAAATTATTATATTCTTGAGAACAAGATTTGAAACTCACCATCTGGAGCACCATCACAAACAACTAAATCTGCTTGTTCATTGGCAAAATATTTTAGTATCTCTTCTGCAGTCGCTGCATTTGTAATATCACCTTGAATTTGGATGACACCTTCCAATGGTGCCATAGCCTGCAGGTCTACAGCAATGATTATAGGATTTACAGATTCAGCTGTTTTTTTATCATTCTTACAAGTTTCACTGTTGGCAGAAAAAACCTTTTTTCATTGGTCAAAGTTAATATAGTGGTAACTACTATATTGACAATACACGTACTGTAATCTACGAGATAAAGCTTGACTCCAACTTCCAGGTGCAGCACACAGATCTACAGCCTTCGTCACACCTGCAAAACATTGTTGTCATGAAAACAGAGTGGTATTTCAGTCAATTTTTTATTTTTAACTTCTTTAAAATAAAAACTTGTTATATACCATCTAAAATATGGTATTCATCATCGATCTGAAGAAGTTTAAATGCACTTCTTGCTCTCCAGCCCTCTTCTTTGGCTCGCCTATAATATATATCCCGTTTGTCCTTTGACGTTTTACCCATTATTTATTTAAATTATTGTCAGACCAAATTTTAGTAGTTCTAACGTATATAAAAATTGGAATGAAAAGTTGAATTATTAATACAGTGCATATACAACTTGTACGCAACCATACATAGCTTAAATGTATACCCAAAACGCGTAAAATTTCAAGTAATTTGAAGCATTTTACAAAAGATGGTGTGACTTCCACTTTCCAGAAAGTTGTAGATGATGCTCTCTGTTGATTCTATGTAGTACTTAGCGAACCATGGAGTAGCAGAGGAAAAGCATCAGTGACGAATTTTGCTGATAATGATTACCGACAACTTATATGTCAACATAATGGCGGGGTCAGCATTAAGACGGTTGATGGCAGAATATAAACGTGAGAAATACATTCTAATCAAGAACATAGCCACAGGAAGTCAAAGCTTTAATTTGTAGTGTCTCACTAACATCTTACAGTAATAAACATTCATATCAAATCAGCCATGGTATCACAAATGAAATAAACAATTTTCAGAACTAACCTTGAATCCACCAGAGGGAATCATAGCAGGCCCGATAAATGAAGAGAATTTCTTCGAATGGGAAGCCCTCATTACGTACGTCTCATTAAATTCCTAATGGCAAGAGAACTTATACTGGAAACAAATATGAAAAATCATATTGTTACGTTACACCATGGATATTCATCTTGAATCCTCATTAGAGGTCCTGAGGGTACCTGCTTTGAAGGTGGTGTCTTCCCAGCAAAGTTGATCTTCCCACCAGACTACCCACTGAGTCCTCCGAAGATGCAATTTACCTGTGAGATGTTTCATCCTAACAGTACGTTCTCAGATACCGTCATCTAAAGTATTGTCTCATTCTACAACTTATATGCATATTTCTATTATAGTCTATGCTGATGGTAGAGTATGCATCAGCATTCTACATGCTCCTGGAGATGATCCCATGGGATATGAGAGTAGTGCAGAACGCTGGAGCCCTGTACAGAGCGTCGAGAAAATTTTACTAAGTGTGGTGAGTATGTTGGCTGAACCCAATGACGAGAGCGGTGCCAACGTAGACGCGGCTAAGATGTGGCGTGAGGACCGCCCAGAATTTGAGAGGATTGCTCAAAAACTGGTGAGGAAGACATTGGGGATACCGTGCTAGAATTTAATTTTACTGAATAATCTTCTGGGACATATATGTGGTATATTATTATTGTTCTTTAATTCGTCTATGCCTAAGTCTATATTGTATGTTGGATAAAATTATGAGATATCGATAAGCATTCCAAGAACTAACCGATTCTTCAATCTTGATCCTGGTCAATTTATCTTTGCTTCTAAAGCACCTATTAGTAAAATATTGTTATTATAGTTAGTTACTCATAATGTTCAAGAGGGATTTCACATAATCCTCATTTGGAATAGTCTCAAAAATTTTATTTCATTGTCAACATTGCAGTACAAACGTTCGTTTCTTTTTTCCTCTTTAATCAAATACCATGTGTATTTGCTTAGGCTTATAAATTACCTTCATAAATGAGTGAATAAATGGTTAAGGAAATGCAGAATCTTTTAGGCGTAATTAGAGTACTCTCGTTCATGGAACTAAAATATATCTCACCTATATTACATTTGTGAAAATTGAAATTTCACAGGCAATTCCAATGATCCTAATACAGTGGGATTTCTATAGTTAACATCCAAGATGGAAATAAATAAAATAGAAATAACTGGGCTACATACTTGTACAAAATTGGACAAAGTGATCACAGGCAATTTTCTTAATTGTCTCCTTTCTCTTTTCTTCCTATTTCCAAAACATACCACTACACAATATAAGTACTAAATACAAATTATTAGTAAGACTTAACATAAAGAATATAAAATATATATTTCCACGAACAAGAGGCCACGATGAGACGTTATATAGCCACTTGCAAAACGTTTTCGACTGACTGAACGTTAATTGTTTATTTATTTATATGTATGTATAAAAGAAACATACAAATGAACCTAACGACGTTGAACTCGATGATGATTGAAAAGTGGGATCTCGGACTAGAGGAAACGCCATGTTCGGAATAGGAGGCATTGGGATTCACTCAAAAATGGCCTTTGAAAGTTCGTATATAGAACTATTCCAAAAGTATTGCAACATTTGAAGATGGTTCTACTGCAGAAATCGATACATCAAATGGACGTGCAAACTTCCGGTAGTGCAATAGTCCTGAATAATCAAGTATAACATAATACAGAGTGGTTCTACAGTCTTCACCAATTTTCACTATTTCCATTCGTTCAAATAGATCAGGACTCTTTCACTGCACTGTACATAAACTCAATAATACATAAAATAAAAACATGAACAAAAGAACTCCAAAATCATGAAGATTAAAAATTATTTCCTAATGTTAAAACAATTTAAAAAAAGAGAGAATATCGTTATAAGAGGCAGATAAATACAAGATAAAGAATATGAATTCAAGACAATGAATTATCTTGAATGTCTTTTTGGTTATTTCTGCTTATTCGGCAACTTAAAAGTCTGTATGACTAGCGTCGTTACTATGGACGAATAACGAGTAACAACGATATTGCAATTAATTGATGAATTAATTAATGGAATGATGACGATAACGATGACGATGATGATAAATTCGCAATGATTTCAATCTCCTAAATCCGACATCAGGGTCACGTTCAAGAACCTCGCTGGAGTGCACTCTAGTCTCATTCTATCTTCATCATAATAATGCTGATAAAAAAATCCCAATAGACCAGACTTACCCCGAGTGAGGTTTCTAAGCGCACCTCAGAAGAGAAATCGTGAATAGATTCGCGAGTTCCTAGAACGAATCAGTTAAATTCTTCTCGCGTATACATGAGATACGCATTGTTCTGTCTTTTCTTCTTCTTCTTCCTATTCTTCTTCTTCTTCTTTCTTGCTATCATGAATCTTGTGTTTACAAAGCATATGAACACGTAGGCGCTTTATATGTTTCTCGTACATTTCGCTTTAATGAAAATACATCGAAAATTCGCGTGTATAAAGTCTTCCAGTCGAAAAATGTCCTGAGCAACTCGCGCGACAGAACGCTGCTTTCTTTGTTCCTTTTTTTCGCATTATTTATCTTCTTCTTTCTCTTTTTCTCCCTGTTCTTCATCTTTTCAATCGTTCGCGTTATTGCTCGCTGTATACAATTTTTTCTTTCTCTCTCTATATATATATATATTTATATATTAGTATTGAGTTTCGTTTTACTGGACTCCAACAGAAAAAACAACAAAACACAAACAATAACAGGTCTTACCGCGCAATCGCATTTAACACAATTAACGCGGTTCCTAATAATTCTTAACTGCAACTGGTCCATTTGGACGAATCGCCACTTCTCCTTTTATCTACTGCCTTCGTGCCTACAATGAAAGGCGCTGGAGAATGTTTCGAAATGATTAAAGAAGAGAGAGACCGCACTTTGACTGCACATGCAAATCCGTAAAGAGAGAAATATAGGAGAGGAACGCGCAGAACGGAGAAAAAGAAAGTAGAATAAAAAAAAGGATAATCGAGGCCACCGTGGCCCGTTATCAATAATATACAGACAATACCATAATGTGTGTTTATAACTCCGTGTGTATATCTGAATTCGTAAAATTCGCATTAGCTTATTCTAAATGCTTAATTATGCCTTTAACCAATCGTATTACGTGCTTTGGCCATATTCTTAACGAGAAGAAAGAACTGCAATGAATAATTCTTTTTCATTTTAACGAAAAACATCACTTCGGTGTGCCCCTGTGATTTGTTCTTTTATCATATGTTGTAGATTATCCAAATCTAAGAAACGTTTTTTTTTCTTTGGCTGAAGGCTTCTATGCCAATCTAAAAAATCACCCCCTTGCACAATTAACTTTGGATGTAAGTTCCATTCTTTAAAACTGCGTTATCGCTCTTAAGAAAAGATAAGTTTCTCTTAGATTTGATTGCTGTATACCAGATCACAAAAGGAATGATATTGGGGGCGGACATCATAATCATATTCCTTGTAAGATAACTGCTATCACTGTACGCGAAACGATCAATTATGAGCCGTATCGTATAATCTGACATCAATATTACAATGGAATTTGTTTCAATCTGCGAAAAGGACTCAATAGCGAAAATGGCGAGTGTCGAATATTACTTTCATCCTATTTAATATGTATAATTGAGAAATCGATTCTACTTTCGAGAATTCGATCCGAACTGTTTTAAACGCGAAGGCATAATTATGGCACGCGAAGAGATTTACATTTCTTTATCTGCTCTTTCACTTTTCTTTCATTACCATGTCTTTTTACATTCCTTCCGTTCTTTTCTTCCCCTCCCACCTCTTAAATATTCTGCCAGCATCGCTCGTTTTCCCATTTTAGTAAGCTCTTTTTACCAACATCTTCAACAGATTGTGCACTTATTTTATGCTAGCAACAAATCCACGTTTGCCTACGTATACCTCATTCACATATAAATACTACACGCCCGCCATATGTAATCCGGTCGATTGATTTGCAAAAGGTCAAAGGTTATTGGAGCAAACTTAAATGTAACAGTGACAAGGGTCGTACCTTATTATTATTAGCTCCTTGTAAGACACACTTTTTTATAGCATTAAGAAGAAAAAGAAAAAAAAATGGAAACGGAAAAGAAGCGGAAGAATATTTTGAAGAAAAAATTAAACGCGCCTTTTGCATCGACTGGATATCGGACACGGACTGACCTGGACATCCTCTCCTACAGTCCCGATGTCTTCTCTCCTTTGTTTCTTCTTTGTTCTCAAATCTCTCTCTTTTGCTTTTTCACTTTTGTATGGTCTCTTCTGGTGCCCTTCGTAAGGTTATCTTACATATCTTAATTGTAAGCGGGACCAGGTTTGTGATGATGCCTGATCTCACGACAAACCCTGAGGCGTGAAACAGATCTTTTCGAGTTCACCAGTAGAAGAACTAACTGGGGACTCCGCACGATCGTCCTGCTCAGCCACTTGCTCACTGTAGTAATGCGGCGTGCTCAGGTAGTCTATGAGACGTCTAGGTAATGGAAGAGTGGGTATCAAGTCCCTGCGCACCATTTTAAGGATTACGAATCTACATGTGTGTTGAAGACTCTGGACCTGCTTGAAGCGCGACACCGGGTGTAACAACTGTACCCTCATCGGCCCCAGAACAGGACGACGATGAAGAAAAAATAAATAGCGTCCGCTACGTGAATGCTCCACTGCGTTCTCAATGAAGTCGACTATCGTATGTGACTTAAATTTCGTGCAGCTACCAAAGCTGAAGTTACCTAAATTAACAAAAGGACAAATTTGAAGTACATCCTCTCGAAGATGAGAGCATTGAATTAATCATCGGATTAATAATATTTACTCACCCTGATCGTGTTCTATCCTGACGTGTCGTACACAACTATTCAGTCTGAATGATAGTGAGAAAATATAATGATCGTCGCTACTATCTCTCACGATGAATGAACCGTCCGGTTCATTGGACAAGATCTTCTCGGCTGCCTCACCAGATATGGGACCCCAATACCATCCGTACTAATAAATCAGTGTTTAAAAACCGTATGAAATTATGGATAAAAATTAGATACAATCAAGACTGAAATAAATCGATAAATGAGACTTACATCCTTTACTTTCTCGATACTGGCAGCAAAGTCCATACTGGTATCCTCAGCGGTCTCTTCCTCTTCTCGGGCAGGCAGTACTGGCATGCGTTGTATTGAGGTAGGGGAGTCTGGTTTGGCTAATATGGCTGTGAGAGCAACCTCAGCTTGCTCGATGCCTACCTGACCATTGTTCTTAGGAAGGGGAGGAAGGGCGCGCTTGAAAAATGGAAGCTTCTGAACAGAAGAGTCAACTTCACTGGTCGTATTATTATTATTCGCATGTTGATCAGAGTCAACACCTTCCTCCTCCTCCACGATTTCACCCTGGACAATGCTGTTCCTTTTGCCTACGAAATGATCAGGCGAACCGAGCCTGCGGAATCTAAATATGTTGCAGAGGGTCTGCTTCAGATTCAAAGAGAAATTCCTTTGAGTCTTTTTAATCTTTTCTCTCTCATTCTCAACCTTCTCTTTATTATGCTGCTCGTCTTTAGCTTTTTTATGTTTGATACTAACGAAGGCATTTTTCTTATGTTTTCTGACGTTACCGTTGTTATTATTATTATGAATCAGTCCATTACTGCTCTTGTTGGATATGGGGGTATCCGTCGAAGAATCCGTATGCGGATTGCTATATCTATTGTTGTTATTTACACTAATACCCTTTGGCGTAGCTAGATGCACGGGTGTTTGACCCGCGGGAAGTTTATCGCGTTTTATCTTATTTTCACTAGAATCACTGGAGCTCGAATAGAGAGTCTGAAGATACTGGCGCACTTCGTGAAGCGTCATATGTATAGGCTCGCCAATGTTGTGCGTGTGGCTATTCGATGAACGTCCACTATGTCGGCCGGATGTTCCAGGAACGCTATGGCGCTTCCCGTTGCCAGCCTCGTTGCAGCAAACTTCAGCCAAGAGTCGCTGAGACTTTATCACATGTGTGATTGCCCTGGGCTTGCCGCAGTAATGCCTCGCTTGCTGAATATGCGCCTCCAGTTCGCTCTGTGAACTCGCCGACACATTTCTTCGTCGCTTCCGATGGTGACGGTGTCGTTTTGGTCTCTGTGGAGTACGTAATTCATGTAGAGGTCGCACCACGTCTATTGGTACCGTGTATATGTCCGAATCGAAGGGTACATTGTACATGTCACTAATTTCGCTGGTAGTTAGGACATCATGGGACATTGCCGACGTAATGAAACTGCTGTCGTCCACTTTGTGACTGAGCCCGGTTGTATTTATAGAGTTATGAGAACTCGATAACCTCGAAGAGGCCAGAGAACAGCGCGAATTAGGACGATTTAACGTGTTATATGGTGTTATCGTGATGGTCGCGCTACCCTGACATAACGCCGAGGCGCCCATAAATTCCGATGTCCACACTAGTTTTGAATTGTGCGCGTTACAAGTTAACACGGTGGCTGAATGTATCGCTGGAGCTATTCGTCCTTCTGGCCAAGATATCCTGCAGGATATAGCTAATGCTTCCTCAATAATAAGATGCACCAGATTTTCTGCTATATTGTCCAACCACCGTGGCAGTTTTTTGCATACAAGCTGCGTATAGCAAACTATTGGTGCGGCGGAGGACACCGAGTCCGGTGGAGATGGACTATCTTGAAATTCTGGTGGTGGTTTTATTGCCACATCTACCACTTCTACTTCCAGCTTGCTATCTACGTCGTTCCAGCCAGGCCCTTTCTTCAGAGTATTGAAGTTCTCACCGCACATTCCATCCGAATAATCAAATGAGTCCTGTGACAGTGATTTACTTTCCACATCGCTCTCTTGCATCTGAGAAAGGAATAATTTAGAGTAACAAGCTCATAACCTTATTACTGCAGAACTGCACATCCTGGAATCAGCATGTACCTCAATCGCGAGATGAGCTCGTACAGAATCGCTGGATATGGACCCACCAAGGCCACTGCTTCCAAGATCGCTTAGTGGCCCTGTGGCACTTAATGAGCAGGATGGAGGAGAGTCCATCTCTTGCATCTGACCTTCACACACTGTTCCCAAGGATTTACAATGACAAAAAGATCCTCTTCGCGTTCCTCATTGTCGTCTAAAATTCATGCTGCACAAATATTCTAGTTGCACTCAGAATTCAACAAGCCAATTATCTCAAATCATATTTCACTGCGGTTACTTTACCTTAAAGTAGCATATGCCTAAAGTGACATGATGATACACTGTCTTCTGTGTTGCATTTTTTTTAGTTATTGCATGTTCCATTATGACTTAGAGTTTGAAGGCAGAGTAGATAATGAGGATCCTTGGTATAGTGTGCCTACGTAACAAAATACCAGGTACGAACATAAGACCTCCTACACACTTTTGAGGGCCATTAAGAGTTCCAACAGCCACACTAATGATACAAAAATTAACTCATTAAAGATAATAATAATCTAATGTAGTTTAGTGGATACTGGCAAAGGCATGCCTTCTTCAAAAGTAATGTATTTTACACCCCGGCAAAGTCGATGTTTTCCAACTGGTGAGTAGAAAGCGTTTGACGTTTCACATGAGAAATAGGATCTACTCACCTTTAACTAACTTATTCGACGGCATTCTTCCCTGGATATTTTGTGATTGACTCGGAGGAATCTCGAGAATCGGCTCATGGTGCCAGCATCGCGTCCGTTCTAAGCGCAAATCAATATTTAAAAGACAACGCAGCCACCTCGGGTTTCACTTACTCCATGTTAGTTCGATTCCAGCGCACCGTAACTGCTCGCACTAGGATCAACCTCTGTACGCCAATGCTCTACGCCATACTGGTTTCACTACTATACGCCACTGTACGTTACTCTGTACACTAGTGCACTGTCACTGAACGTTGCGAAAACACCCAACAGGCCATTCCATTCGAGTACATATGGGCCCCCTACGAGTCCGGCACGTTTGAAATGCTCACAATCATGGAAATCTGGACAGGCTTCCCCGAGAACATTTTTAATTAGTAACCACGATCAATCCTTACTGAAATAGCTAGATGCAAATCCCTTCGCCGATGATCAATACTCTGTGGTATCAAAAATACACTAAACTGGACTTTATACCCTCTTCAATGGTCATCCTACCCGTTATCCATAATAAAACGTATCGGGTCATCAGATTAATTTTAGAATTGCAATTGCATCCTCAGCGATTATCATAATTTTATTCTAATTGCTTATCTAGTGAATAACTGTTTGAATTTAGCAGAGTGGAAATAAAACGTACAATCTTCAGAGCCCAAGTCTTTTAAATTCCAACTAATTCAAATAGTCTAATATCTTATGTATACATTATATTACGAAGTGTGAATAAACAAACTACATGCTCTACAACTTGTAAACAATTATATAATGTTTCACTAAAACTTATCAAAATCGATAATCGGTCTACATTACTTTAACACTATTCTTAGAGAGTCAAATGGTTACCCAGTACATCATAATTCATAATATTCGATGCTATAACAAAAGGAGACCTAGTAGAATATAATATTCCGGCCACGGCAGCCTTAACGATACAGTCAAGATAGTATGAATACCGGTTTCTCCATTCGCTAATGATCGTGACAGAATTCTAAAACGTGTTAAAGGCGTAAGTGCCTAACCAAAATTTATTTATTTCTATTCAGGCGGACAACGTGCGTTTGCCGGCTCATCCACTTCTTAGTGCACGCGGCCACCGTAAACGTAACGTAGTATTGATCAGGGACTCCATAATTCTGCAGATGTATGCACCTAAGAGGAGTGCAACCGGGTCTGCGCAGTTTCCATGGATACCCGAGCTACCACGTGACAGACGCCCTGAACAGCTTATTCGTACACCACCTACGAGTAGTACTACTGCCGCCGCTATCATCACCGGGCTACCACTACTACTGATATTACTACTACGAGTACTACTACTACGAGCACTGCTACTACTACCACGACAACTACCACTAATACAGTTAAGCACTTACTCTAGCTCAACTATTCGCTTTCCCTCTAACTTCTATCCCTACCTTGGTCCAATGTTCTCATCCTTCTCAGCGCATATCTCCTTTTTATTTTGACTCTCAGTCAGTACGCATTCGCACGGTTCCGCGGGTGTCGCCAGCTTGATATGTAAACTCGGTCGCGTACATACGTTGCACGATTCTCAAAATGTTCCATCGATCCCTGAAAAGCTCTGACACAAAAATAGAATAACATACTGTGTTTTATCTTACTCTTATCTTTATATCTAGTTATTCGATATTACGAAGTATCGCTAACTAAATGGATTCTGAATGTTCCAGCACGTGCCAATCGATTTTTACTTTGAGTACCCGCTGATTTTCTCACTTTAACTTTTTTTTTTTAGGGAGAGGAGGACGTACGAAAGAAGATTCCATCGTATGCAAATTATTCATTCTCCAATGTGGTGTTTAGTGAAATGGAATCTTGGCCATTGTGCCTACAGCTATGAAAATGCTATTTTATAACTTGAACATTTGGTGAAATTTTAAAAAACACGAATATCTATAAGAAGAATGTTCCTAGAATAGGATATATTTTCTTTGTATTATTTTTCTCTTCCTCCGCTTCATATTTTCCAATCACGCTCAAATAAAATGAATCTTCAATTGTTTGCGGATTTTTTGAGCATCATCACGATAACCATGTGCTTTGTACTTAAAGTGCCACAAATTTTTAATCTTATAAATGTGAAATCCGCCGCTGGAATATCCATTCTGGGACTTCTACTTGAACTGACGAGGTAAGTCAACAGTTTTCCCCGAGGTGACTATTTACTAAATACACACTTTGCATAATTAACACATTTGCGCAAATAGATTACTGCTTAATCTTGACGTAGAAATATACGAAAAGAAACAAAACCCAAAATTAATAATATTATTTAATGTTTGCTTTTGTTTCAGTTACACTGTGATGACTGGCTACAATTATACCAATGGATATTCACTCTTATCCTACCTCGAGTATCCCGTTATTCTTCTACAGGAATTTGTACTTATATTTTTAGTACTGAAGTATTTAAATCAAATCAATAGAACATTCGTAATCCTGGCTGTTCTTTACTTTACACTCTGCACCTGTCTCCTGCTGCAGATCTTTCCAAAAGTCATCTTTACCTACCTGGCAGTAAGTAATGATATTATATCATACATATGGTACATAAGTAGACATTATTTTATTCATTCCATAATTTGCTTTATTACCTTTTCTTATAGCCAATGTGCACACCTATCTCGGCATCAAGCAAAGTTGTGCAGTTGTTGGCGATAATCAGAGCAAGGAATGCAGAATCCGTCTCTGTTCTCACATGGCTCATATCTACTTTTACAAATTTAAGTAAGTATAATCAGATTACTATCAGCCCAATGGAAATGATTATCATTTTGGATACGTAAAGAACTTCAATTTTCAGCAAGAGTATTTACCATTTGGATGGATTCAGCGGACCTTCTGCTGCTTGGAAACTTCATCATCTCGGTCGCATTAAGTTCCAGTATAATGTTTTCGGCAATGTACTACAAACGACGGGTGAAGCAAGAGTAAGGCGATGCATGCTGGTCGTTACTATATTACTTTAAATAAATATAAGTGAAAAGTCTTCCTTAAGTTAGATAGAAGCATATGGAAAAAAATGAGAGCGAATTACTGAATGTACTCAAAATAGACTGCATAATCGTTATTATACACTCAGCGAACGCAAAGCAGAATTTAAATATCGAAAATGTTACAATTTTCCACCCGTGGATGTAATAGCTATAAAACACCTCACCTACGTATTTATTATATTCTCGAATAGAAAAATTGTAACGTTACCAATATGTGACTGTTGCTTTGTGTGGTTGTTTTATTTTATTCACTTACCAATGTAAAGGATATTAAAAATAAAATAACTATTTGGATGTTGAATAATAGAATTATTTTTCTTTATATCACTAAGTTCTAATATAATTGATATTATTCCTAGATAGAATTTCCAGGGTTGGTGGTGACATTCTGTGCACTCTATGCACATGCAATTCAGTTAAAGTATGCACGTGCATCTCGGCATCCAGTAACGTCACGACTATACGAATAAAGATTTCACGAAGCTGCGTTGATATTTTCACAAGCACATGTAACATCAACGGCAGACTCCCACCCTGAGGCACTGGTTCTCGATGACCCTCGGGATTCAGTCTGCAACGAGAAGCCGGCCAGGCTTCATCGGTCTCAACGTGAAAGTATCTCTGAAGCAGACTGCAGTGGTGAAGACATAACTTATTGAGAGGAAAGAAGAAGAACAAAAAATAAAGAGCAAAAAGTAATAATAAGATCGAACAGGATGGCCGGCTCGAAGGCTTTGGGCTTTCTTTCGGTGCTGGTCCTGTTCGTGGTTCACCAGGTCAATTCAGAGATTTTGACGCCACCCTATTTCAATCTCGCGGAGGGTCGCGAGATCATCGCCTCAGCTACTTGCGGTGTTGATCATCCGGAACCAGAACTATATTGCAAATTGGTGGGAGCTAATGCAGATCAGGATGAGGATATCAACCTTATCCAGGGCCAGGTGAGTTAAATTGATGATCAATGAATTAAAATTCCGTGCCATTGAACTGTGCTCCAGTTGCATGTACTATTGTTAGCTATGGGAATCTCCCTTCACGTTTTAAAAATAAACATCGTATACTTGGAACTCCAGAATACTATTTTAAAGTTCGACTCTCTCCATGTCCCTTCCAAACGTGAGAGAGAAAACGAGAGAGCATAGTTATGACGGCAATCCTGCGAATATTTTGAAGTATTATTTATTAGGTATAACAATTTACTTGTATCGTTCAAAGTAAATTTGCGGTTTCTTGGTCTTACTAATGGCATAGGATAATCTCTAGATTAGTCCTTAGGTTCCCTTTCTTATTGGTGAAAGGATGCGCCTGTCCGCAAGACCCTTTCAGTGGCCTACTAGAAGAATGGGATAGAGAAATAAAGAAAAACCTTGATAATGTTCTCTCCCCACAGCCCATTATTGCAAAGAGAATAAAGAAGAAAGAAAAAAAGCAGTCGATGGCTACTAAAGTCCTAGGATTTTATAATGGTCAAAAAGTAGTACTTATTGTAAACTAATATAGTAATCTATGGAATGCCCTGGTCAGGGTATTCCTTTCAAGTATTATTACTCTAACCGGGTGCTTTGCTTTAGACCAGAATATCCTTGTTGTAACGAGGTACTTTTCCCATTTCGAATAATTGCTAGAGTCTACCCAGAATGATATACGCAGAATAACGTACGTAGAATAGCGTTACCGATGAGAAACTTAAACAGAAGAGAATTCATTGAGGAATGAATGAATGCATTGAACGATTTTACATACATAATACATAAAACTTCCTGTAGAGTAGAAGTTCCTTCATCCTTAAACATATTTTTTGTCGATCGATGAAAATAGTATCCAAACATCGATAAAGTGACCAACTAAGAAAATTGAGAATCTTAAAAGGGAGAAAAACGATAAGCACATAGATAGTACCTGACCCCACCGATAACACGACTTTTCTATGGAGCTTAATCTGAACCAAGAAGAAAAAAGAAGAAAAAAAAGTTTCTAACTGGCACAAATGTAATCATTTCTAACTATGTAATGAGAGTCCTCGTGTGCTATTATGAAAGAGCTCTCTAGGAATGATTCTTTATTATCACTATTGGATATAGTGTATTAGTCTTAAGAAACGTCCTTATCGCATTTCAGGTCTGTGATTACTGTGACCCGAGTAACCCCGAGAAGCGACATCCTCCGGAGCACGCTGTCGATGGTATGGAAACCTGGTGGCAATCCCCACCACTCTCTCGAGGAATGAAATATAACGAAGTCAACTTGACTATCAATCTGGGCCAGGTAAGTTTAATGAGAATCTGAAACAAGCAAAACTGATACAAGAAATTCTTAGCTGCCATAGAATTCAAAATAAATTAACAATGCAGAATAATGAAAGATTTATCATATCACTACGTGGGTGAAGAGTCTTCCGGTCAAATGGGAAATCGTTATCATTCCTCTCTATTTCCTGCGATGATAATACATTATCTCGTATTCGAATACTGAATCCAGATATTATTCATTTGTCTGGTATTTTTGGAGCAAAAATTACACTGTTCTTATTTTTCTTTTGCCTGATTTTGAGAATAGTCTTTGAAAGACCTTCCTGGAAGGACACTGAAATACGCTCTGAAAAATCTTAGGCCAATGTAGTCATGTGCCTTGTACCATGTGTTGGAGAGTCTTGGGAATGCAGAAAGTCGAGTGGTGCACATCTGGCGTTCCCTTCGTGGGTTTTTCTAGGCCCTTTAGACTCTGCGGGGAATAGCTATATAATACAGAGACATATTTGGTCTAAAATATATATTTTTAAAAATTATTCAACATTTTTAAAGCCATTTACGATTGCAAGTATTAAGGTTGACCCTTTTAAAGGGTTATCAATTCAATCTATCAACCGTATCAATAAATTTCTATTGAATTTTAATTACTTTTATAAATAATATACTATAACTTGCTCAGCTATATGTACAGAACGAGACCGTTATTCCTAACAATTATCTCTTATTACCACGTTCTTGACTGTTCGCCAACCTTAGAAAATCTATTAACGGTAATTGCTGGACTTATAAAGCATTATTATTTGGTAAATATGATGTACATATTGTATTTGATGTTTGTCAACCTCTGAGAAGAAGATATTTTTTCCATAGGAATTTCATGTGGCTTACGTCTACGTCCGAATGGGTAATTCCCCAAGACCAGGACTTTGGATTCTGGAAAAATCAAAGGACTACGGAAAAACTTGGTCACCCTGGCAATATTTCTCTGATTCTGCCAACGACTGCCTCACATATTTTGGTGTAGACAGCAACACACCAATTACTAGAGACGACAGTGTAATTTGTACAACAGAGTACTCCAAAATTGTTCCACTAGAAGGTGGTGAAATTCCGATATCTATCTTGAATAACCGGCCGTCTGCCAAACATTATTTTAATTCCACGCTGCTCCAAGAATGGACGAGGGCAACAAATGTACGATTCCGTTTTCTGAGGACGAAAAATCTCTTGGGCCATTTGATGTCTGTAGCCAGACAAGATCCCACGGTAACAAGGCGCTACTTTTATTCCATCAAGGACATTAGCATCGGAGGCAGATGCATGTGCAACGGCCATGCTGATACCTGTGACATCCAAGATCCAAATACACCAAAGAAATTGGTCTGCCGATGCCAGCACAATACGTGTGGTCCACAATGCGCAACTTGTTGCAAGGGATTCGAGCAGAAGAAGTGGCGACAGTCAACTGCATTCAAAAAATTCACCTGCGAGCCCTGCAACTGTTTCGGACATTCCGACGAATGCGTCTACGATCCTGAAATTGACGAAAAGCACCTCTCGTTGGACATCCACATGAATTACGAAGGTGGTGGGATCTGTCAGAATTGTCGAGACAACACAGAGGGTATAAACTGTGATCGGTGTATACCGACCTTCTACAGACCTAGAGGCAAACCCTTGAATGCCACTGATGTGTGTCATCCTTGTAATTGTAATTATTTCAACTCTACTGGAAATTGCGCAGATTCTACCGGGAAATGCGAGTGTCGACCTGAGTTCACTCCACCTGATTGCGATTCATGTAGCTATGGATACTTTGGTTACCCAAATTGTAGACCATGCGAATGTTTCCTTAATGGCACAGATGGATACCATTGCGAATCCATAAACGGCTCCTGCCCTTGTAAATCAAACTATGGAGGATTTTACTGTAACCTATGTGCAGAGGGATACTACAACTTCCCAGATTGCAAACCGTGTCAATGCAATCCCTTAGGTTCCATGCATGGCGTCTGTGATGTTATTAATGGGAATTGCGTATGCAAGAACAGTTACGGTGGCAGAAAATGCGACATATGCGAAAATGGCTATTACAATTACCCAAGTTGTAGCTTCTGTAACTGCGATACTCGTGGTACGGAAGCTGAAGTTTGCGATAAGACCGACGGTCACTGTCTCTGCAAGGAAGGATACGGCGGTGCTAGGTGCGATCAATGCAGCAGTGGCTACTATGGGTATCCAAATTGCAGACCCTGCAACTGCAGCATCGTTGGATCATCCTCAGTCAGTTGCGACGCTTCTGGAAAGTGTTCTTGTCTAGGGAACTTTGCTGGACGAACCTGCGACCAGTGCAGTCCTGGATTTTACATGTATCCTGATTGCATTGCTTGCAACTGTGATAATCAAGGATCAAATGGCGTATCGTGCGACACAGAAGGACGCTGTCAGTGTTGGGATAACTTCGATGGGGAGAAGTGTGCACAGTGCAAGGAGGGATACTACAACTTCCCAACCTGCGAGGGATGTAACTGCGATCCCGCCGGAGTTGTCGAGACATTTATGGGCTGCGGATCCTTACCTGTAGGAGAACTTTGCCAATGCAAGGACCGCGTCCAAGGTCGTATTTGTAATCAGTGCAGGCCTCTCTATTGGAACCTTCAGCAAGCGAATCCTCAGGGATGTGAAGAATGCAAATGCAATATCCCAGGAGTGATTGGTAGCATTGCAGAGTGCGATACCAAAAGTGGGCAATGTATCTGCAAGCCGGGTGTTACCGACAGAGCTTGCACCAGATGTATCGACGGAACGTATAATTTGGAAGAGAGCAACTTATTTGGATGTTCCGATTGTGCATGCGACATCGGCGGATCTGTGAATTCAATTTGCGATAAAATAAGTGGTCAATGTCCATGTCAACCAAGAGTAACTGGACTTACTTGTAATGAACCCTTAAAGGCTCATTATTTTCCAACTCTTCATCAATTTCAATATGAAGTCGAGGACGGTAGGACATCGAGTAACAGTCCCGTGAGGTATGGATTCGCAGAAAATCTGTTCCCAGGATACTCCTGGAAAGGGTATGCTGTATTTTCAGCTCTACAGGATAAAGTTATTCAATTGGTAGACATCCACAAGTCTTCTCTATATAGAATGGTACTTCGATATGTAAATCCAAACAATGAAACAATTCTTGGTTCTATTACGATTATTCCCGAAAATCCTTCAGAAAGCGAACAAAAGTTTATGGTACAGCTCAAGCCCAGCTCGAAACCAGCATTTGTTACCGTTGCCGGAGCACAGGGTAACTTACCCTCGCCATTGGTTATGAATCCTGGGCGGTGGAGTATAGTTATTTCCACCAAGAAGAGCCTCTTTCTAGATTACTTCGTGTTGCTTCCTTCAGAATACTACGAGGCTACGATCCTCACCCAGGATGTTAATATACCATGTGAAATTGGATATACAGGATTGTGTAGACACTACGGCTATCCCAGCTTGGCACAGTTTGATTCTGTGAACGGAGTAGATGCATTTTCAAGCAGAAACAACATCAAGATCCCGTTATCAGAATATTTCCAAGAGGAGGAAACACTTCGTGAAATCGGCAATCTTCAGTTTCCTTTGATCAATGAGAATCAAGAAGAAATCCAATTCGATTTCAAAGTTGCCAATTCTGGGCTATACGTTTTAATAGTGACTTATATCACATCTAAGAACGAGTACGACATTGCTACTATAAACGTTGAGGCAAGTAATATTGAGAAGGGTAAAGTTACTCTCTATCCCTGCAAGTATACAAGTATCTGTAGACAAGTAGTCACTGACAGGTACGGAAAGGTAGCTGTTCTCAACTTGCCAAGTGATTACATCAGACTCATTCTTACTAGAGAACCTAGTGCAGGAACCGCCAAGGTATCTTTAAATTCGGTGGTAGCCATTCCGTATAATCGTTGGTCCTTGGACTATATCAGTCCAAAATCTGTGTGCGTCAGGAAGAATGGCAAATGCGTCCAGGGAATCTTCCCAGCTGCGGCAGACTCTAAAAAAATCGAGTTTGAGACCAGTAACGAGGTTTTAGACGTAGGAAGCAGACCATACGGAATTTACGATAACAGTACGAAGTTAATACATCTGAATAACGTGGATGCGTCTGTAGATGTTCCTGGCAAGGCACCTCAACCCGGTGAATACGTATTCGTCGTGCAGTACTTCCAGCCGGATCATCCGCAATTTGAACTCGATGTCCTTATACAAAATGGTAAATCCTACGAGGCTAAAGTGCCGGTACCTCACTGTCCCAGTAACAGTGGTTGCAGAAGTATCATCCGTCAGTCTGATGGCAATACAAAGTTCCAACTGAATGAGAATTTCGTGATCAGCTTCAAGGAAACAACTGGAAATGATATTTGGTTGGATTACATTCTGGTGATACCAACCGATCAATATGGAGACAAGCTATTAAAGAAAATCCAATTCGATCAAACTAAAGAGTTCATAAAAAAATGTGGCAACAATCATTTCCACATAAATGTGATTGACGAAAGCTTCTGCAGAGATTCAATATTTTCATTAACGACAAATTATAACAACGGTGCATTGCCCTGCCAGTGCGACATAGAGGGTACAAGAAGCTTCGAATGCGAAAAATTCGGCGGACAATGTCCTTGCAAACCGAACATAATAGGCAGACGTTGTGAAATCTGTAAGACTGGCTTCTACGGCTTTCCAAACTGCAGACCATGCAATTGCCCAAGCACAGCAATTTGTGAACAAGAAACTGGTGCTTGCATATGTCCTCCTAGGGTAACAGGAGAGCGCTGCGATGAATGCGAATCAGGAACTTACGGATTCCATCCTATAATCGGTTGCGAGGAGTGCAACTGTGCGCCTCAGGGTGTCCAAGGAGGCGATCTTCAGTGTGATCTTTTCAGCGGTAGCTGTAGATGCAGGGACAACGTAGTGGGTCGTCAATGCGACAAGTGCTTGGCTGGCTTCTCACAATTTCCACTATGTGAAAAATGTGATTGCGATACCAGAGGAACGACGTATGACATATGCGATCAGAGAACGGCTGAATGTTATTGCAAGGCTAACGTTCTGGGACAAGCCTGTGATATTTGCAAGGAGGGTACCTTCAATATTCAAGAAAGCAACGAAGAGGGCTGCACCAAGTGCTTCTGTTTTGGAAAGACAACCCGTTGCGCCTCAGCCGATCTATACAGAGCATACGTTTTCGATATGGTTGATTGGGATGTTGTATATGTCAATGATAAGACTGGCAACGTCAGTATGCTGAAAACACTACCGCAGGAACTGAATGAGACAAGCATAAACGTTAGTTTAACGAATGACGACACGATCGACAACGTAGTGTACTTCTCAGCACCTAGAAGCTATCTGGGAAAGAAATTGACATCCTATGGTGGTTACGTAAACTATACAGTGCATTACAGTACAGGTCAATTCGGAAATGCCGTAGCTGGACCAGATTTAATACTCTATGGTGCTGACATCTTCCTCCTTCACTATGGAGATGAACAACCACCATCATTCACAAATTTCCGTGCAGCCGTTGAGATTGTCGAATCAAAGTTCGTCACATTAAATCGTAGCCCAGCTACCAGAGAACAGATAATGGTCGTTTTAGAAAACCTGCATGGTATTTACATCAGAGCGACTTATTGGCAACCTAGCCTAATAGGCACCTTGTCTTATGTGACGCTTGATATCACCACCGAAGATTACATACCCAACAGTGTCCCGGCACACAGCGTAGAACAATGTCAATGCCCACCAAACTATCAGGGTCTATCCTGTGAGGAATGTGCACCAGGATATTACAGAGTAGAATCTGGACCTTACGGGGGTTACTGCGTGCCCTGTCAATGTAATAATCATGCTGACACGTGCGACGTCAACACTGGAATTTGCTACAACTGTAAGAATGGCACAACGGGAGATCATTGTGAATTATGTGAACCGGGATACTACGGCAACGCCACTGTAGGAACACCTTCCGATTGTTTAATATGTGCCTGCCCTCTGCCATACGCTTCTAACAACTTCGCGAACGGATGCGAGGTCAACGAGGAAGGTAGTAAAATTAGCTGCGACTGCTTGCCAGGATATTATGGCGCCAGGTGCGAAGTCTGTGCAGCAGGCTACTACGGGAAACCTGATGAACGTGGAAACTATTGTAGACCCTGCGAGTGCTCTGGTAATATAGACACGAACGAGATAGGTGCATGCGACTCCATAACCGGAGAATGTCTTCATTGCTTGAACAATACGTACGGAGAGGCTTGCAACCTCTGTGCACCAGGATACTTTGGTGATGCTGTTGACAGGAAGGATTGTCAGAGTTGCATCTGCGATACTTGTGGAATGGAGGAGTGTGATAGTTACAACGGAGGGTGTTTGTGCAAGGAAAACGTCATCGGCGATAAGTGCGACAGATGCGAGATCAACCACTATGGTTTTGAGTCCTGTGATGGATGCAAGCCCTGTGAATGCAGTTTGGCATCTGAGAGTAGTCAGTGCGATGACGAAACAGGGCAGTGTAAATGTAAGCCTGGTGTCACTGGTAGAAAATGTGACCAGTGTATCCCGGGCTATTGGAATTATGGACCTCATGGATGTATATCTTGTGGCTGTAACACAGGATACTCTATTGGCGCCTCATGTAATACTACCACCGGTCATTGCACTTGCCTACCTGGAGTTATTGGTGAGAAATGTGACGAATGTCCACACAGATACGTTTTCATCTTGGACGCGGTAAGTGTGAGCAGTGGCTGCTATGAGTGCGACATTTGCGTCCATGATCTTCTCGACGTTACCGATAGCCTCGAGAATATGCTCGAGCCAGTCACTCTACAGTTCAATAAGGTGGCTGAGAGTTATTTTACCAATCAACGACTGAAGTTTATTAATGACACTGTTAACGAACTGCATCCGGAAGTTGAACTATTGGACCCTAGAAGAGTGAACTTCTTGCCACTGCAACAAGAGATCTCACGACTCGATCAAGAAGTTGCGAATCAAAAGCGTAAGGTCGATTATGCTGCTGAGGATAGCATCAAGTGGAAAAAGGGGGCCGACAAGACGCTCAGCGACATGAATAATCTCGAGAAGGATGTAATGCGAGAAATTGCACTTGTAAACAGCATCATAATGGAAGTACAATTACTTGCATCAAACATCGAACAAGGTACTGGAGCAAAAGTAGACAGTGCTCTTAAGGAAGCTAAAGACATCCTGAAGCAGATCCAGGAAGTGACCTTCACGGAATTCAGAGATAGAGCCACCGATGAATCAGGGGCAGCCAATGTACTGATATCCGAAATGCAAAAATATAACTTCCCAGTGAGCAATTTAAGTTCCATTGTAATGGATTTGAACAACAAAGTGAAAAACTTTAGTGCGAAGATAGACGACCTGAATAATATCACCAATAAAGCGCAAGATGTAGCGGGCAATGCGGAGAGACTCAATCTAGAAAATAAATTAGCAACGGAGACAGGTAATTTTGATAGTGTAAAGAATTCAACGGCCGAAATTCTGGAGGATCTAGAAGCAGGCGAGCAGCTTAACAAGAATGCTTCCCTATTTCTGAATGAGGCTTTAAGCAATATATATGCCTTGAAGGGCAACATCGGCGCGGATTCCACACTCAAATTGAATGAGACTATCTTCTCCAATGATCAAATGCTCGTTGATGTCCTAAAGCCTGTTCAGAATGCAAAGGATCACGCAGACTCGCTCTATCAACGGTCCTTGGAACTTGACAACATTTTAACTGATACTAGGAACACGACGGCAGTACGTGCTGTCTCGGCTTATAAGGATATCGAAGAAATTATACAACAAGCGCGACAGGCTGCTGAGGATGCACATCAGGCTGCTAACAATGCCACAGAATTATCAGATGGTATTGAAGACACGACTTCCGCAACTAGGGATAATTGCCTACAGCTTTTGGAATCGGCTAAGATTGCTGTAAACAAAACAGAAGGAACGTTACAAACAGACCTGCACGAAGCTCAGAAACAAACAAACGATATAATACAGAAGAATCAATGGAATAATGATGCCCTTGATCGTATTGAGAAATCACTAATTAACATCCCTGTTAAATCCTCATCCGGTCTGGTTAATACATTCATCGAAGGTGCAGAAGGGTCAAAAATAATTATTCAACAAGCAATCAGTAACATGAACAGGATAGTGAATAAGATTCCTAATGACTTAAGAGAGACTAAACAATTGTCCAAGGATAGTGCTGATTCGAATAGAGACATTTCTCAGGCGAATAAACAATTGGATTCTGTTAGCAAAATCGTGCCAAACATTACAAATCTGTTAGGTGACTTAAGTGAGAGACAGAAATTAATCAACAGTACCGGAAATGATTTACAAGACAAGATCGAATATCTCAAAAATAAAATAGCCAATGCCAGAGAACTTGCTGACAGATTCAAGACTGGACTCACTTTCTACAGGAACACTACTCTGGAACTTAAGAATCCTGAGAATTTCCCTCTTCTTGCGACATCCACGAAGATTTCCCTGTACTTCCGCACCAATAAGACCAACGGTTTCTTGCTTTATCTTGGAAACGAGGAAAAAGCAAATCTTCCAAGAATGAAATCTCATGACTTCATGGCGCTTCTCATCGAAAATGGTTATCCTGTCTTAATAGTGGATCTGGGATCGGGTCCTGAAAAAATGATAAGTAACAAGTTTGTTTCTGATAACGTATGGCGACAGGTAATCGTTGATCGTACAGGAAAAAATATCAAATTAATAGTCCGTGAGGACATAGGAGAAGGCAAATATAAAGAATTTGTCAAGGAGCAAGTTCTACCTGGATCATATTCTATCTTTAATCTAGACCAGGAACAATCAAAATTATTTGTAGGTGGTTATCCCTCCTCGTTCCAAATACAAAATTCGGTCACCTCGTCTTCATTCGACGGTGAAATGGAAGAGTTAGTCATTGGCGACATACCAGTGTCATTCTGGAACTTTATTGATGGTGAGAACAACAGACAGGGTGCCATTGAAAGGAACATGTTAATAAATTTAAAACCAAGCACAGGCTTCCGGTTTGACGGCAATGGCTATGCTGTTTTGAGTAAAGAGAATTCACGGATTTCATCTGATAACCTGAAGTTTTCTATCATTCTGCGCTTCAAAACATTAGCAGAAGATGGTTTAATATTCCAAATGATCAACAACCAGACATTCTTGTCTCTGGAAATGCAAAATGGCCATGTACTCTATAGATATAGTTTTGGCGAAGGAGAAGCTATACTGAGATCCACTAACCGGTTCAATGACGGTGACTGGCATACTTTGAATGCACTTCGGTTGAAAAGAAAGGGCGTGTTGAAGATAGATGGGCAGAGTGTGGCCAAAGCTGAGGCTCCTGGAAACCGTTCCGCTATGATATTGCCAAGTCACATCTACTTCGGCGGATATCCACCGAGTCAACAGCACGCGCACAGAGAATCTGGCTTCGAGGGTTGCATAGATGATGTTGTTATATTAGATACTTCAGTAGATCTTAGGAAAAATATTGAAGCGTTTGGTGTGGTGCCAGGCTGTCCAGTTCGGGTAAGTCTATACTATCTAACACGTCTTTGGCGATCTGGATCCAATCAGAAAACTCACATTAAAATTTTATCCTATTGCAGTTTTCCAATCTAGTTTCTTTCGAAGAGCACAAACCGGGCTATGTGAAATGGCCTAACACATCGATATCAAATTCAATGCAAATCAATTTGAAATTCAAAACTGCATCCAACAACGGCTTGATATTCTACGTCACAAATTCCGATCAAACGGCTACCAGTTCCCTATCTCTGGTGGATGGTTTACTGTCTTTCAAAAGTCAAGGGGAAGAACTGAGAACTAGTGACGCTGGAACAAAATTCAATGACAACGAGTGGCACGTTATCACTGCCACGCATGAGGACAATGCTCTCAGATTAGATATTGATGACACATTAAATTACAGTACAGATTCTGCACCACCTCCGATACACATTCTTTATGGAAATTTGTATATAGGTGGACTACCAAGTACATTCAGTGTCTCTAAGGATGGTACTGCATCAGTTGCACCATTTGCAGGTTGCATAGGTGATGCAACGCTCAATGGTATCATAATAAACTTTGCCAATACTACAGAAAGACCACACAGTATCCTGGGCAAATGCAAGGGCAGCGATCAACCAAGTAAATATGCTCAACCAATCAGTTCTATTGAGCACTATCAATGAATAAAATCGCTAAATCTATTTTCTGTACTGTTTAGCAATTCCTTCCGTTGTTGTACCCATACCAAATTGGCGGCCACCACCGCCACCAACTCCAGCAGAAGGATTGGATACTATAACTATGGCCCCAACACAACACAGTAAGTAGTCATTTACATGGTATAATCATTAGTCATAGATTCCATGAGACGTTTTAAAATTAGCCTCACTTGTCAAGAATTGTATGCACAAAAACCTTTGCCTTTCTTATTCCCGTTTTTACGGACAGCATCTCCTTACTGTGGAACTCGAAGTTCTTATTTGCTGTAACGAATAAGGCCGCTCGTAATTAGCTTCAGATTAGGGAATGAACTTTGACCCCGTGGAGTAAGACAATAGCGATTGTCAGAAAGTAGGGTCGCTCAGTATATCTCTGTAAGTGGTTGAATAGCAGTCATGATCTGCCGAGTGACTATTCTATTATTATTAGTTTTTAGAATTGGACTAGCCAATTGCACGGAAAATCCTAGTGCCGGTGAGATTCGTTAGGATGCCAATGATAATGAAAAATAATTGCGACACATCCTACAAGTTTTCAATAAAAATTGTTACAGCTATGGCTACCTTCGTCATTGATTATAACAAAGGCGAAGTCATGTTGGAGGGTAGGAAAAACATTGGTCCTACTGAATCGATCAGTACTACCAGCACTACTACAACGCCTAAGCCTATTACCGTTGATGAGTGTCGTCTACCTTTCTATCCTGCAAATGACACTGACTTGGAAAATGCTTGGAGAATCGGTAGGTTCATTTAACCCTGCCTTTATTTTTAGGTGATAACTATTATGCAATTTTATAGGTACTGCCAAGCATAGCAGATTAGAATACAGAACTTTCAATGGAAGATACAAGAATCAATATGACTTCCAGATAGACATAAAGACTATGGCTGATGATGGAATAATATTCTACAGTTCTGACTTTACTAAACAAGATTTGATCGCCCTTTATATAGAAGATGGAAGGGTACAGTAAAATTTTAAAAGCATATTTCTTAAAATTTTATGATGACTCTGAATTCCATATTGATGTTCTAATACCTTACAGGTCAATTATAAATTTGATTGCGGAAGTGGGCCAGCTCTGATGACTAGTGTAAACAGAATAAATGATAACAAATGGCATACCGTTGTTTTCAAACGTAATGAAAACTGCGGTGAACTTATTGTTGATGAGTTCACACCAATATCCGGTTGTTCTCAAGGCCATACGAAGACAATCAACCTGAGCCCACCATTCTTTGTTGGAGGAATTATTCCAGACAGATCCAAACATGCTCACGACACCCTTGTCAGTATCAAATATTTAACACCAATAAGTTGATGTATCAATTCTGTATGATGGATTTTTTAGGGGCTGAACAAAACGTTCAATGGATGCATTGGCAACTTCATGATGAATGGACAAGTGGTTGGCGAACCAACTGAGAAGGTCGGCGTAATTCCATGCTCGAAGCGCGTGGAACCAGGGCTCTTCTTCTATCCTGGAAATGGAAGTAATTTCTTCAAAGCAAGTAAGTATTATATCCTGATGATTCATTAACCATTTTATGAAAACTACTTGGCAATAAATTCACAATGCGATAATTTATTACAGTAGATAAATTTACCGTGGGCAGAGCGGTGGATATCCAAATGGATATAAAACCAAGATCAACTTCCGGTCACCTGCTGTCCGTTCATGGCAAGCGTGACTTCCTGATCCTAGAAATGATCAATGGTACCATCAAGTTCTTGGTGAAAACAGCCAAGGGCGTGATAGAAACCACTTTCCAGCCTACGATGCCAAATTCACTGTGCGATGGCAACTGGCACAATATTCATGGTACATAAAAATAACTAAAGTTATTACATTTTCTTCAACATTTATTCGCTTTAACATTTCTTATCGGTAATTTCTGTGATATTATCAATTATTTTTCTTCTTCTTACGTTTTCAGCCGCCAAACAAAAAAACACGGTTGTGTTATCAGTTGATCACAAAACTGCTCCTCTAGGAATTAGTGGTAAAAATTTAGCGGGAGTCTTCTCAAAGCATCCAATATATGTTGGAGGTCATCCGCTGCTTAGCCGAAAATTACGTGGCAGCGTGTCACACGCTCAATATGTTGGTTGCATAAAGAATATTATGATCAATCGTATGAATATAAATTTGGATGCTGAACGAATTAATGGCCACGTAACAGCTAGTGTCTGCCCAACGATATAAACGCATTGGCAGCATAATTAATTTAAAAATTCTTAATAAAGAACCAAAGCAGGTATCAAAACAAATTAAAGAAGAAAAAATGTACGATGTAAGATTCATTGTAAGAAAAAAATAAATGATATATTTTACGCTCGTTTTCCTAGAACCTTGTCCTGTACTAATTTGATTTCCTGTATGAACTTGTGTCTTTTGAAATATTATCATTTAAAATTTCTATTTTGCTTGCTTAAAAAAAGGACTTTAATATATTTTATTGCTAGTTTATTAGACGTCGCTTTTCATCGCAAACAAGATGTAAATAACTATACTGTTCGAAGCTGTTAAAAGGAGAGTAAAAGAAATATTATTCATCCATATTTACTCTGTACATAATGCGTCACGATTAAACCGTACAGTTGTGCACTGACATTGATTCATAATGGCGCTTAAGTGTACAATTACTTGTATTTTCATTTCTACTGATTTTCATGCTTGTTCGATTGTACGTCATGTAATGCTATCTTATATTACGGTATGTTCAATTGGAATCTGCGGGAGTCTTAAATGCTCTTCTTAAAGAAACGGATTGGTCACAGAATTATAATATATATATTAATAATTATATAACAAAATAATTATTCTCTTAATTAGAATAACAGTCATTCATAGAATCATACGGGCGCTACTGTTGATGACTTTAAAACTTATAGGTAGACCGAAAATGGGATACAAATGGTCAACACGCAATAGTCTGTGGGATTGGAAATTTTTGTGCAACTAATATTTTATTTTACATCTTATTATTGTTACTTTTTGTTTCCTTTGTTTCACGTTCCCTTCATTATTCTAGGCTCAGGCACGCACAGTTCCAATCCTTATATTTTATTTTCTTTATTTCCTTCATCTAATTATCATTGTTCTAACCCATTAATCCGGCCGCTCTTTTAGCATTAATTTGTAAGTATAAATCGCGGATATCAGCAGGAGGATTAATCGCTACTTTATTTAAACGCAAGAGGTTACTTAAATGTTTACACGATCCACATTTATGAAACTTCTTCTGGGTATTGTGCATTCTCAAACGTAGTATGACTTAAAGAAATCCCGTTAAAATCTTGGAAATTAGTAATAAAAATATTGATATATGCATATGTATGTGTGTGTTTGCATGTCCAAAGTCCCAAAAATGGTGGGACGCGAATTCACGAAATCAAAGTCAATCATCAATTGCTTTTCAAACTTATTAAAGACAATCGACAAAAGCGTACGTCACTAAAAGTATGCAGTCTTGATCTTTCTCGTATCACGGAAATTGCGTTATACACTTTGTTACAAAAAAAAAGTACGAAAATCATGAATCAATGAATCTTCAGTAATATAATTTTTTTCATTTGGTGCTGTTCATTTTTCTGCATCTCAATCAAATAAGAGTTTCGTTAAGAAACAGGAATTACGAGGTGAAGCCGATTCACAATAAAGATTCGTAAAGTCACAGCCATGAAGACGATGGAAAGCAGAGAATATCGATAAGTAATCTTCGCGTTTCTTTTAATCTTGCCGAAGGTGCATGGTTGCAGTTAAACAGGTACCTGGATTGTTACGATTTACTTCCATCCTCTCGGAGGCCAATAAGCAGAGCTTCCACTCGTAGCATCCGTACTACCATTTTCGTAATTCCTTCATCTAGCAACAGGTTTTAGAAAAATCTCTCATTCGATACCATGTGCGAAGATCATCACTAATCCTGGTTCCACCATCATATCCTCAGGCATATGAGTATTATCACAGTGCAGGACTAAGACGGCCTGCTTTCCAGGAACGCGTTTACACACATAGTTCTCGTACTGACGTCGGGAATTCTGCCTTGTCTCCAAAGAGTTTAAACCTGGTGGCCACTTTCTTTCGTGACAGTTCAACATTAGCTCGTCGATGACATGTGGGGGACAGTTGTACTCGGAAAGGGTTCTTTTGATCATAGTCTGCAACAGGATATGATACAAACTGTTAATGAGAAGAGCTACTCATCTTATGGAATATATAATCATTTACCTGTAGAAGCTCGTCAGGTGTCGATATCATTCCTCCCCATCTAGTGACTCGTGCTCGTGGCAATGTAGCTGACCACCGTACCACCTCATCGCGTTCCATCTGATCTGCGATTGCTCTCATTGCTGGATTCGAAACTCTCATGGCCCGCATGAAATCCTTTAATAGGTGAATCTCGCGTTTTTGTTCATTAATTTGAAACTGTTGCTCGCTGAGGTCACGTTTCATGTCACTAAGCTTCTGTTGTTGAGATTGAATGAGGCTACGTAATTCTCTGACACAGTTGTGATCCTTGAGTTCGTCCTTTGGAATTATAAGGCTGCAGCCTTGCTCGCAGGGCATTGGTCTCTTTGGATTATATTCGCATTCCTCCAAATGAGATTCCAGGCTATCCAGTTTCACCACAATTTGACAGCCATAGACGATATTGTCACAAGTGATGCAGAGCCTTGCCAGGAGATTGCGTAGTATCCTTGGAACTGGTCGAAGTTGAGCAGATGTTATTGGTGTTCGGTCCAGAGGGCATGTAGGTTGTCGATTGATCCACTCATTGATGCATACCCGGCAAAAGGCATGCTCACATACTGGAGCCTGTAACATGTCGCTCACCTACCAGTCCTCAGAATTCTTGTGATATTATCTTAACCCATCAGAATATATCATTACACAGAATGCATGTAGATAGAAAAAAGATATTAAGCAATACCTGAACAGGGTCTTCCAGTACTCCTGAGCAGATAGGGCACACTAGTTCTTCATCGACATCTCCTTGGAAACGATTTACCTCAAATCCCATCCTTAATAATTCTAAATATAACGTTTCACAAACCGAAGAAAGCACGTAATTAAAACTATTCTTCTGTGACAGTAAGATATCAGTCAAGAACTCTAAGCCTTATAGAAAAGTATTTCAGGCAACCTCAATAAAGATTATAAAAGAATAACACGTCAGGAAATGTAAGCCGAAATTGATGATGCTTCCTCAAATTTGTTCATACTTCTGCATGTATCCCTCTGATCTTTGCGAGTTTCGTCTCGCTCGATTTCGTCGATCTGTTTTATTTGTACACATAACCCATCATTTATTGTTCGCACGAATATGACATTATTCAATCGATACTGATCCAGATATTTTTGAGCCTTCTTCCAATTTCACTAGAGATTTATTTTGATTAGATATGTACGAGTGTCTTGGTGAATGCAAAGATCTTCCTCACGCCGGGCCAAAATCAGCAAGTTTCCTTCTAGAATTTTTCTATTTGCTTCGTTTTGGATTTTCTCTCTTCTTCGAAAGAATTTTTATAGCCCTGAGACCGCTTACCGTCTGCATCGCTCTCTGCCTTCCTCTTTTTATATTACTACGTTCCTATATTGAATACTCGACTCTTTGCAAATGATCTCCCGACGGTCGGCATCACCTGTTGATGATAAAAGTTTCAATTTTGAAAATTGATCCCTTTTTATCGACTGACTATAGCGGATCCTCCGTATTATCATTGACTGAATATACATATATAGATAAAACATTCCCGTGTCTTCTATGCCTCGCTATTCTAATATGTAGAATATATATTTATATACAGTATTGCACTGGGTAAAGTCTATTTATAGATGACCACGGTACCCAGGGTATGTTTCAAAACCTCACTCTTGTACTCTAAAGTAACAGTCTGTCTCTATCGAACGCATGTCCGTTAACAGAGACAGAATGATACTCTGGTGTACGAGTAGTTTTCGGAAAGCGCCCCCAGGTTTGCGTGCCACCATATCCCATAAGGTGTTCAGTTTACTTACTTCTTCAGTCAACGCCATTATGCAACACATTACCAAAATGTAGCGATGGTTGGTGATAAAGGGTTGCGGGGAGAGAGTTTTGCAAGCAATACTTTTGAGATGCAATCCTTTGACTTTGTTTTTTTGATATCATGTAATATGTTATTATACTGTCCCACGGCTTCAGGACCATTCTAAGTATCCAAGATCAATTTTTCTCATAATTGCCACCGAGTTCTGTGAACGATTCTCCTTCTGTGGCCTAAGAAGTGAGTTCTTTAGAAAATATTTTATATTCATATAGAAATAATGTTAGGACAATATATTTTCTCTCTTGCAGCTATTCTTTCTTTATATTTAAGAAATGTTTTACTTTTTCATGAAAATGGAGCCACTATAATTTATCATGTTTTTATTATGCTGTGCTACTTCGTTCCAGTTGTAGGTGCAATTCTTGCTGATAGTTATTTAGGTCGTTTCAGGTAATTAATAGAACCATGCACAATATGATGCAGAAAATGTGCTTAACATTAAATAACGTTTACAGGACTATACTATACTTCTCTATTATATATGCAATTGGAAATATTTTAATGTGTTTTGCTGCAACACCACCAATATCTATTTGGCCAATGTAAGTGAGAATTCCCATGTTATAATCAATTTTACGAGTCCCTTAATAGTTTTATAAAATCTGTATTTCTCTTTCATTAATAAATATTGTCATTATTGATTCTAGCCAAATGACTTATATTGGTTTGGTTTTAATTGCTTGGGGCACAGGAGGTATAAAACCTTGTGTAGCGGCATTTGGTGGAGATCAATTTCATTTACCACAGCAACAACAAAAACTGCAACAATTTTTTTCACTTTTTTATTTCACAATTAATTTTGGTGGATTTGTTGGGATGATCCTTATTCCCATTCTTAGAGAAGCTTTTACTTGTTTTGGAGATGATACTTGCTATGCATTGGGATTTGGATTCCCAGCAGCCCTGATGGTCACTGCACTATGTATATATCGCAATAGTCATAGTCTTATTAAATTGCATAGTCCTATCCTAATACTTTTCTAAACATGTATTTTAGTTTTGTTTCTGCTAGGAAAGCCATTATACCGTTTAAAGTATCCCAAGGAGAATATCATGTTAAAATTCATTAGTTGCATCTATGTAAGTCACATTAGATACAATTATTCAATGCAGCCCCATTTAAAATTGTATGTTTTACAATCACAGTATGCTGTTAAGAAGAAAATGAGTGTTAATGGAACTCCAAAAGTAGCTAATCACTGGTTGGATTATGCAGAGGATAAATTTCCTTCAAAACTAATAATGGATATTAAAATTGTTCTTGCTATTTTGTTTCTATATATTCCACTTCCTTTATTTTGGAGCCTGTTCGACCAACAGGTATACTCTTGAAATATATTTTATACTTGTAATGCTAACACAAGTTTTTTTTATTAGGGTTCTAGGTGGACTTTTCAAGCTTCCAGGATGAATGGAACAATCCTTGGCACTCAATTACTACCAGATCAAATGCAGGTTATAACATTTTTTATTCAAATTATTCTATCATCAACATTTATTTTTTATGTTTGGTAAAAATGTATATTACATTGTCAAAATTCAAGTTCTGGATAAACCATTAAAGCACTTGAATTATGAAATAGTAATTTCAATTAAAAATTATATCATTTGTATTTATGATATCTACTTCCTGTATTCAAAGTAATATGCTTCTTATTAATAGGTCATAAACCCAGCTATTGTACTGCTATTGATACCTCTATTCGATAAACTCATTTATCCCTGGTTTGGAAATCTACAAATGCTCAGCTCACCATTAAAAAGAATGATTGTTGGCGGAGTGTTTGCTGGCTTAGCTTTTATTATGAGTGGATTATTGGAATTAAAGTTAGAGGTACCATAAACAATAAAATTCGATATACTGTACGTATTTTTTATTAAATATTTTTTATGGGAAATTCATTTTTAAATTCATCAATATATAGGAAACGTATCCTGTTCTACCTGACAAAGGACAGTCCACTCTAAACTTCATTAATACACTGCAGTGTGATGTTGAATTTCTTGCTCCATTTGATTCAACTATTACTTTAAATTCAGGCCTGAGACAAGTCTTTAACGTATCTGCCAAGAATTTAACTAAATATGAATTGTATTTAGTAGCCATACCTCAATGTTGGGAGCTTCATTTAAAAAATCCAACCTTGAGCATATCCATTAATACTTCAGAATATCAGGTAAATACTCTAATTGTTGGATCAATAGGAAAAGATTTGCATCTCTTTAAAACAGATCCAGACGAGTTTAAGAAATCCTTAAGTGGCAGACCTAAACTTCGGTTAGTTGGTTGAAACGATTAACTCATAAGATAAGCATTAATGTCGTTAATCATATAGAGTTATCTTCATCCGAGACTCTGAAATATTAAAAAATGTGACAGTTACTCTTGAAAGCAGTAGTGGATTACAAGACAAATATTTTGTACCTGACGATAATTCGCTTTGTGAATCCACCTACATGGAACTTGAACCCGGCCTGTACGAATCTAAATAGTATATTCTATCAGTGCATTAGTATCGTATGTAAAAGTTTAAGGAGTATAATCTAAACAGATTCCATTACGTAATACGGAATCGCGATGATCCTGATGGAACATACAAATCCTCAATTCTCTTAGAACTTGGGGCGGTCTATTTATTGATGCTGAGAGAGCACAACGGGCTGATAGTAGTATGTAAAATAATTACAGTAAAATAATAGCATTTATTACATTAGACCATTTTGTAAGACTAAACACAGTCTCTTTTCTTCTTTAGTTTCATAAAATATTCACGATGACTCCAGCAAACAAGATCCATATACTTTGGTTAGTTCCTCAATATCTGCTGATCTCGATTGCGGAAGTGATGTTCGCCATTTCAGGACTGGAGTTTTCATTTACTCAGGTATTCCATTCTAATCGGTGAACAAACTTTACACTTAGAGATAACGACTAATATTGCGAGGACAAACAGGCACCAAACAGTATGAAAACTGTGACGATTGCTGCTTGGTATGTCAGCGTGGCTCTTGGCAATCTGATGGTCATTATTGTAACTCAAGCGCGCCTGTTCAGGAGTCAAGTAGGTTTTGCAAGTATTAACCCTAATGGAAACGGTAATAGAGTTATATGCTAATGGAAGAATTATCAATTATATAGGCCTACGAATTCTTCCTGTTTGCCGCTCTCATTCTGATCAATATGGTGTTTTTTGCTGTCATGGTCAAAAGATACAGTTTTGTTGTCCTGGAAGCTGACTCGAGTGCCGTAGCAGAAAGTGCTATAGAAAATCAAGAGAATTATCCTTTAATTAAACATTCCTCACTGAATGGTGGGGTATATGCCCTATCGGGAGTCTCGATTAGTCCTAGAATGAAGTCTGGACATTTTTCAAAAAGAATGCCACGGTAGATGGAGTCTGCTCCTTTCTTTTATTTTTTAAATATTCATTTTGAAAATACTAACTACAACTATCGAATAACTATATAACAAATACGTTAGACATTGGATTCTCTTATCTTGATCTTTCTTGGGTAAATGATAGTTATGGACAGGTGTGCATTTCGTTGACAAGATGAACATGTGTAGACGTGAGGTACACTGACAATTTAGAACAATAATTATCTAATCTAATCAATTTAAGCTATCAACGCGTTGTCGTCTTGTACCTGATAGCATTATTAATGTATGATGATTATAACTGTAAGAATAAGATTAATATAATCCATCATCATCATAAACGTATGTCTTAAAGAACAGTATCTAACAAATTGACATAATTATCTACTAAATATTAAAAATATCATTCAGCGAATTTAATTTTACCTAATCGTACTCGATCGTCCGCAATTATGAACAATTTCTTTATGAAGTTAGAAGTATTTGAAATTGTTTTAATTAATTTATTTAAAAAAACTACAGGAAAAGGTAATTTTTCAGCATACACAGGAATTCGTTGACAATAAATATCTTTTAAGAAACTCTTATCGGATTTGGAAAAATTATTTAATGACAAGATAAAATTACATTACAAAGCGATTGTTCATTGAGTGTGATTTATTGAAAATGAAACAGATGATAACCGGATATTATTTGTGATATGGGATCAGTTGTAGAAACTTGATCAGTCGGGGTTTTGATGCGAATGAAAGAAGGTGAAAAGGGAAGACGGTACTTTTATCAGCTAAATTGGACAGAACACAATGGCAAAGGAAAATAAAGAGGCTGAGAGGGAGATTCAAAGTAAGTTTAAGTTCAGTTTATGTTTTACGAAGAAAATTCGTACAAGTACAGTTGACTTAATCACTTGATAAAATGCTAGTATCTTTAAGAGCGGGGGGGGGGCACTCCCTCTTTGTCAATTACATTCATTACGACAGTGCTTATTCTCTCTTGTAAAGATTTATTGGACGTCCTATTGATGTTACTATTATTAATTATTTAGACTCGACGCTCTATGTCTAACGTATATTCCCTAAAGGGAAGTCTGATTGATACATGACCCACTTTTTGTAGACTCGAATTGAGGAACCGTTCTGTATTAACGTTTAGAAGACAGGCGGATTTTTGTTCGACTTGTACAGTTCTTACCTTAGAACTTTAATACATATAGGGTATCCTCGCTAAAATTTTCAAGCTCTGATGTAATATGTGTAATAATTTCGACAATTCTTTTTTCGAAATGCATTTCGAAAAAGAGAAAACGTATTTTGTTTTTTGGGATTACGATTAATTTTTCCAACAGTGTGATTTTTGTAAAAATTTGAATTTTTCGATATATACTTTTTAACACTAATACATATTTTGTAAGTGTTTAATCCTATAGGAAATAAACTACCACGAGATTTTTTCAGTATCAAATGAATCATATTTTTTTTAAAACTTTCTGGGCAGTCCAAAGTTTTGTTATATTATATGTATTATTCTCAGATGTCAAATTTATAACTATTTATCTATATAAAAACTTTTTTGAATATTGATATATTCAGCAACAGATTAGTAGTCTGATAGTCTTTCATTGACCTATTAATATTGATAATCAAAGAATTATATTGTATTGTGTAATTATATATTATAAGGCACTAATTAAAAATCAATTGAAAATGTAGAAAATGACTGATCCCACATAGAAGTAAATCGCTGGACTCGTAAATGAAGAAAATGAAGGTAAAAAATCTGCATCTATGTATATACAACGTTGTAATATTTTCAAGTTTATTATCAGATTCTTTATAAGATAATTCGTTATCAGAATCTTCACATTCTTCTGTCTATTAATGCTCCTCGTTTGAAGTAATTTTATGTCGCGTTGAAGAACTCTTGAACAATTTATAAATATTTCAATAATTCTTGATTTTCGTTTTGCTGGAAAGCTTGGAGATTAATTATTCTAATGAACAAGTTGACTAATAATGATAGACGTAGCAAATTATCAAATCAATTATAAAAAGATATTGCGAATAAGATAGTAACAGAAAAGAGTGAAAAAAAAAATCAAATCAATAAACTCACTTCTATAATATACTTTCTGTCGTTCTTTCTGTTTACTTGCGAGAAAGACCAATTGTTAGAGTTTCATGGAGATTGAAACCTAGAACCCAATTTGGTGGCTGTAAATTGGTTGGCTAATAGGAAACGAAAAGTTTGAACAGTAACCATAAAATATATCGATGTTTGTGATTACTTTTCATATTATACCCATTAATAGACCTATCCTAGACTCAAAGATTTTAGGTCGCTGATCCCGAATCTGAAGTCAAAATAAAATAATTCAAGTTCGCGACAGATGACAGATACGGATTTAGGCGATCACGTAAATCTGTCCATTTTTGTAATGTCGAATCATCATATTGGATCCGCCGTTTATAATGTTTAACAATTTGTTTTTAATAAATTTTGGGCTCAAATTCAAGACTTAATATGATTATATGATAATCCAGAGAATATTACCCTCTTTAGATAGCAAAACAAGAGAAACATATTCAATTCATAAAAATTCTTCATAAAAGTATTACAAATTAAATCATAATGTCAGATATCTTTCATGGTTACTTAAAAAGCTAATAATTTTTACTACAAAATTTTATTCGTACACCTTAAGCTCTTCTATAGTATAAATATAGGCTCGAAAATCGCCTTCTCGTTCTCTACAGATTAAAGAGTCTAAAAGACATTCATTTTTCAATTCCGTGCGAAACAGCAAGAGGAACATATTTTTTATATGCTGGCTGATTCCATTTAAAAGCTGGGAGATTACTTTAACAAATCCACGTTCTTGAGACTCCTAAGTCGGAATAACGTCGGGTATTAGTCACCGTCTTTTTTCTCGAACCTGTGGCTGAATACTAAAGATTTCAGGGACCATAAAAAGTGCAATGGTGGGCGATTCAGTATGTTAAACATTTAAGAACCGTTGGACAAAAATTTAGCACGCATAAATACGTATGTATATTATGCTTCTGATTCAGAGACACGGTGAAAACAGACTGACCTTAATGCAAACAAGATTTCAAGCTGGTTTCGATGAATGAGTGAAAGTGTGATAGATATGGAAGAAAAAAAAAAAATAAAAAAAGATTTCAAAAAATATTAAAGATCAATGCCATGTATACACTCAAATGTTAAATTTTCTGATTATGAAACAATAAGATCTAATCAAAATAATCTATAATCCGATTACACTCATTCTGACCTCATCTCTTTCATATGATTAACATATTTCCAGCTTCAGAAATATAAAATATGCAATCAACTCGCTGGATTTCAGAAATTATGTATCGCACTGAATCGCGAAAATATTACGAAAAGATTTGAGATTAAGCTAGGCCTCACATTGGAACATGGCGGTTTCAGCGGCGGAATAGCTGGCAACGCTGCGCATCGTCAGCTGTACCGTCAGCGTCCCCGTCGTCGGCGATTCGGTTTTAGAAGAACCAAAAATAAACAAATTGAACATTATATACAAATTCTAAATTCACATATTATATGCATCAGAAAGTTCAATAAAAAACATCTAAAATCGTTTCACAGCAGTATAGCTGCATATGCTCAAAAGTATTAGGCACCCTGTTTACGCACCCTCAAGAAACGTACCTATGTTCCGTGAATATCTTAATCATACATTTCTGATTAATAATTCTTCTGCTAATATTGGACTAAGCCAATTTTCATCATGAAATCTTGTTTCGATCCATTGACGTTTCACTCTTGGTTTCAGATCAATCGAAGGATCTTGAGAGTACCGAGGAGGTAAGAATTAATTAATAAAGTAGATACATATTAAATAAACAAATCTGTTCGATTGTTCAAGCGTAGTTCAACCTAATTCTCTAGAAGTTTATATCAATACTTACAGAATAGTAACTATACAAAGTTATACATATATGCATGTCTATATAACAATATAACAATGCCGTTTGTGTATCGAAAGACACATAATTATGTTACAAGATTCCAAGAATTTATTGAAAGATGTCCAATTCTTAATTATCGCCTACAGACGTACAATACTAATCTACAAAATGTACCGGCTAATCGTCACGAACCGTTAAAGCGCCTTGTTTTCCAATCATATCTGATCTCACTTAGACTCGAATACCAACTTTTTCTCAGATTGTAAAGAACAGCATGATAATAATGTTTGCTGTGTTTCATAAGCAGTGAAGCGCACTAGTGCAAAAGTCGCTAAAGCAAGTAAGCCTCACTGTATTGTATCGTTTCGTATTGACAATTTAATTGAAATGATCCCATAACTCAATTATCGTTTGCACGTACGTAGATAAGAAAACGCATAAAACAGTGAATTGGTTGCAAATCAATGATTTTGTTATAATTTTCGTAATCAATGATGACTATAAGCAGAACAAGTACTCGTGAACAATCGTTACTACTGAAAATACTCGAGTATCTTTCACTTCTAGAAGTGAATTTATTGAACGATCTTCGGTCGCGAAATTAAGCGCGCGATCCCGAAATGCTCTAGCGACGCTGTAACCGAAGATTCTTCAATAAATTCACTTCTCAATAAATTGGAAATGGCTGAATGGATTTTAGTCTGCAAGGTCTTAAAATGTTAAGAAAAAAAAAACGCGATACATTTTCTGATATCAACAGAAAATTATGTTCCATTAAAAAAAGGCACATGTAACGTGCTGTATCTCGAAATTAAATGATTATAAAAAAAAATTATTTAGATGAAAAATCGACCTCCTTGAAACCATACAACTTTTGTCTGAAACTTTTTCCCATATCTTCATTAGTAACGGAAATAATCGAGATGTGCACTTTCGGTGAGACACCTTGTGTATACAAGCTTTTATTTGACATTAAATTGATGAACCGCTGCTTATCCCTTATCAGTGAAGTAAACTGTCAAATCATGCAGCATAGAGATCATTTATCAAGAACAAATATTATATCATCAGTCAAGTATTGCCGTTGAGGACACTAATTTTTTTATTTATACTTTCGTTCTTTAGTTATGCAGTTATTGAATGTAAGTGGTTCCGTATCGTCGAGTAATTAACTATTAAATAAAGAGAAATCACGAGGCGAGAGAACAGACCTTAGAGGACAACATTTTTTATAACTGTGACGAGAAACACCTGAACTTCGAAAACTATGACTTGGAACTCGAGGAGTTTCTATTTTTCAATGCTATACTTTTGCTATTCCCGATAAGTATGCCCGTAGTATACAAGAGTACCATTGGCCGTACTTCTAGATATACCTTTTAATGAAATATAAAATTTAAATTAATTATATCTATACAATACTTATTAGTTTGATAAGAAATTTTTCTTTCCCTAAGCCTCTGTTAAACGATCATAAAATGTAAATTAATTGTTATATTTATTAGTTTTATTAATTAATATTTATTAGTTTGAATGATTCCTGCTGGTACTTTGAATGAGCTTTATCTGAATAACCTGTATAGTCAATTAAGTGATAGCATATACTAATTATGATAGTACAGTTGTACTATCATCTGTACATCTATCTTCTGAAAGTAACGTGTGCGAGCGCCTTACAAAATCAGACCGATCATTTATGAAGAGGCGTTATCGTAATTCAGAATTAAATCATTTTGGAAACCCGTAATTAATCGATCACTGTACAGGGACTTACTACATTAGCTGCCTAGGGTATACACCCTTACACTAAGCCAGACCAAATTACTTTAATTACTCTATGTACAGTTATTAGTAATCCTCGATGCACCATCTATCAATCATCACCTGGGAATAACACGACTTTTTGAATCATGTTAAAAGTTTAGATAGGTTCATAAATGATAAGTTACAATTATAAAATTAAGAGTGTCTATAACAAAGCGCATACAGTTGAAAGTAAACGTCACTGAACGGTAATGGCACCAAATATTGTGCAAAGTTTTGGGGACACTTGAAGTATTTTATGCATGAGAAAACAATCACAGCTGTGTATTTAGTTTTGTTAATTGAAAGTTGATTATGATTACCCAATATCACCAATGAATTCAACGTGTGATTCTTCTACTATGGAATGCGAGGTGAGTTCGTTGAATTATATGTAAGTTTTAACAGACACTTAACTGTATGTAACTTTTACATTATCATTAATATCATTTTTTCAATCGTCCAGCAATTCTGGTGTTGTACACATTTACCGTCATCTATCATATCTTTACTATGCTTGTATCCTTCTTTCCATTGTTGAAAACCATGCTTGTACACTCTTTAGGTTTACTTCTGTTTGCGTTTGGAATTGGTGAAATAAAGCCGTGCGTATCTGCTTTTGGCGGTGATCAATTTATCCTGCCGCAGTAAGTACGCTACTTATCTGTCTTTTTCTCCGTATATTACTTCGCTATTAATTCAGAATCATTAATATCCACTTTCGTTACTCCAATTCTAAGGAGCGACGTTTCCTGTTTTGGGGAGAGTACTTGTTACTCATTGGCATTCTTCGTTCCAGCAATTCTCATGATATTTTCCATAAGTATGTTTATTTTTAAAATAATGAATTTAGAAAATTAATTTTGAGGTGATTGATTAATGTTGCTCTATTCTTTTGTCAGTTATCTTTAGAATAGGGAAGAACCTGTACATTATCAAGGATCCTGAAGGAAACATTTTGTTTGAAGTGAGCAAGTGCATCTGGGTAAGTTTGATATATTTTGCATGGATCAATTGGATTGGCAGATGTTTTATGGAAATGTAGGATTATTTGTTTTAGACATACAAGGAGAAATAAGTGTACCCTCGAGTTATACAAGATTTGTAGAGAAAAAGTTCCAATTACTAACTTTTTAATTAATATCACTACTTAACATTTTACTTTGCTTTCTCCTTGATATTTCTAATGTGATAGCGATAAAGTGACTTCAAGCTCATTGATAAATGTAAATAATATGTTCTTTTCTATTGAAAAAATATGTAGCATGCAATCAGCAAGAAGTGCTGCTCGAAGAAAGTACAGAAAGAACACTGGCTTGATCATGCTGATGATAAATACGACAAAATGCTTATTGAGGACATTAATGCGGCCATACAAGCTCTAAAGCTTTTCGTTTTTTCACCAGAATTCTGGGCCCTTTTCGATCAACAAGGATCGAGAAGGACATTCCAGCCTGTGACAATGAATAGCGAACTTGATAGTCACACTATCAAATCTGATCAAATGCAGGTCAGTAATCTCGATTGAAGAAGATTGTTACATGCGGTTGTTTGACCAGCTTGGCATTCATTGTTTTTGTTCTGGTTGAATTAAAATTAAAGGTACACAATATTTTTTAATATATTGTACATTCTTCTCTGTTAATGACGTATTTCAACTTGTTTTTCTGCCGTCTAGACAACTTATGCGGTATCCCTGACTGCGGCTTTAGCGCAGTTTAGAATATTGAATACTTTGGATTATACTATTAAATGACTAGCGGCTATGAATCAGTTACCCTGAACGGTCTGACAATGAGCTATTGGAAAACTAAGTATGTTGAAGCATTGGATACAGCAGCCGTGAGTTATACAGATAATTTCACAGTCTGCAGTTTAGCAGGACTTTCAAATGAGATTGGTCAAGATTCAGGTATACATATTTTGAAAAAAGACCGTATACCAATTTATGAAGGTTTACATATTGTCACATCCTGAGCAGTAAGGAGAACCGGATTGACTTAATAAGATGAAGATAAAGTTGGTTAAACAACAGCTCGTGACCCAGCAGCGTGCGTTTTATTATTTTCGGATAGTTTTTTATAAGTCAGATTCAGAAACGGGGTTAGAATCAAGAATAATTTCGACAATCGACTAAGATATCACCATTATTTAATATTAAATTTTAATGTTAAAGGATATTTCTAAATACATTATATTTTGCAGGTTTTGAACAGTTTTTCAGCAAACTGTTTGCAGCTATATGATTTATATTAGAAAATGAAATGCTTTAGTGTTATGTCTTATGTATACTATGCTGTTTCACAGCAGTATAGCTTTACATGCTCGAGAATATTAGAAACCTAAATCCCACGGGCCCGCTTAGACACTCTCAAAAACCGCACCTATGTTCCGGGAATACCTTAATCATACATTTTTTTATCAATGATTATTCTGCCAATATTGTATGTACTAAGCTAATTATTGCCGTTCAGTCTAGTTTTGATCCATTAACGTTTCACTCTTGTTTTCAGGTCAAACGGAGGATGAAAGAGATCTTGAAAGTATCGACGAGGTGAAAAGTAATTAATGAAGTGCTCTTAATTTTATCATTGCTATTTACAAGTTATGAAACTCTTTCAACTCTTTACATGATTTAGAAAGTTTTATAATTTCCAGATGATAATTGATAGATAGTGCATCGAGGATCACTAGTAACTGCAGACTAATTAAAGTAATTTGGTCTTGTTTAGTATACGGGTGTATACCCTAGGCAGCCGATGTGATAGTCCCTATACTGTAATCGATTAATTACAGGTATCCAAGAGGATTTAAATCTGAATTATGATAACGCCTCTTTATAAATGATCGGTTCGATTTTGTGAGGCGCTTATACACGTTGCGTTCAGTAAACGAATTCTACATTTAAACTGTACTATCATAATTAGCATATGCAATCACTTAATTGATTATCTAGATTATTCAAATAACGCTCATTCAAAGTACTAGCAGGAATTATTCAAACTAATATAAATTGTATAGAAACAATTGATTTACATTTTATAATCGTTTAACAGAGGTTTCGGAAAAGCAAAATTTCTTATCCAAAATTTTATCGAGTAAGCTTCATTCTCAGGTCTCAATATTTCTTTTTATTTAGTCGTAAATTACTGAACGGTACGCAACCGCTTACAATCAATTTCTGTATTACTTAGCAACAAAGGGATAAATAAATAAAAATTAGTGTCCTCAACAGTACAACAGTGCTCGATAAGCGATCTTCAGGCTGCATGACTTGAAAATTTACAGCACTAATAAGGGATAAACAACGGTTGTCCAATTTAGTGTAAATTAAAAGCTTGTGTATAAACAAAATAATGGAAAAGAGGAATAATATGAATATTATGGAAACTCATTTCGATGAAGGTTTGCGAGTAATTGTTGAAAGACGTGGTAGTGTCAGCATAAGACGTAAGCGATCCGGCGAACATAGTTACGTTCTCTACGAGGAGCTTATTCAGAAGAGCAGAAATGCCCTAAAAGAGAAAAGAAAATCACGAGTAAGTCACATCGATCAAACACTCAAGATATCACACTGCTGAAAATTGTATTGAGATTACAAATGAATAAACCGCACTCACAACAAAGCAGTAGTTCCTGCTGTACATACATAAATAATTTAAATTTATTATTAACTTGCGAAGAATTTTGCACGATGTTTGTATATTTAATCATTTATTAGTGTATAGCTCGTTCCAGTTTTCGATAACGGTAAATTAATCACTTTATAAGTAATAGTCCATGACTCTACTTCTAACAACATCATGCCGCCACGCTGATTGATCCTTTACTGGATGGTCAGTTTTCTCAAAACTTCTTGCCATTACACTGACACTTTGGTAGTGGGGTATTAGCACGTTAGCAGTGGAACAGCTACTCGCTAGTGGATCGCTAGTATTTGCTCCGTTAGTCCCAATTCTTTTCAGTACTCATAAAGCCGCTGCGCGGTGAGTTTCGCTTAATCAAGACTCTGACAGAAGAAGCATTACAAACTTTTTTTTATTTCTTACTGTAGAATGATGTTTTAGACTCGTTTAGAAGCTAGTGCTATCCGGTAATTTATAATTCCGGATGCAATTTTGAATGCCATTGTGATAAATCTATTGATACTATATAATCTCTTTCAATTATCAATTTTGTTTACGTGTTATTGCTATTTGTTATATTGCCCGCTGCATCATGGTTATTGAACGTGGAATTGTAAAGCAGGTAACAGCTTCTCATGTATTATAACAAGGCCGTTCCACTGGAAATGAAACGATGACTTGTGTAATAGTTGCATTCTGTACTATTCAGTATCATGGTATTGTAACGTAATTTATAATTCATTATACGGAATAACGTATGTTTATGTTTAAATATTCGTTAGATAAATGGTATTTTTGGAATTTTATTTGCAATATATTATGCCTTACCGCAGGATTTTCTAAACTTGCTGGTTTTCTTAAGCGAATGTATGAAAGAAAAAACTTGTCAAACTGGTTAATTGTTGGTGATATGGAGAATTCTCTATTGGGTATGAGTGATCTTCTGTTTTTTTTTTTTACTGTCTGCCTATTAAGTAAATACAGTATTCTCACTGATAACAATTGTTCACGAGTACTTGTTCTGCTTATAGTCATCATTGGTTACGTAAATTATAACAAAATCGTTGAATTGCAACCAATTCACTGTTTTATGCGTTTTCATATCTACGTACGTGCAAACGATAATTGAACTATGGGATCATTTCAATTAAATTGTCAATACGAAACAATACAATACAGTGAGGCTTACTTGCTTTAGCGACTTTTGCACTAGTGCGCTTCACTGCTTATGAAACACAGCAAACATTATTATCATGCTGTTCTTTACAATTTGAGAAAAAGTTGGTATTCGAGTTTAAGTGAGATCAGATATGATTGGAAAACAAGGCGCTTTAACGGTTCGTGACAATTAGGCGGAATATTTTGTAGATTAGTATTTGTATGTCTATAGACGATAATTAAGAGTCAGACATCCTTCAATAAATTCTTGGAATCTTGTGACATAATTATGTATCCTTTGATACACAAGTGGCAATGTTATATTATTACAGACATGCATATATAACTTTGTATATTTTCAATTCTGGAAGCATTGACACAAATTCATGCAGCATTATGTTTAACCAACCTTGCACAATCGAGCAGGTTTGTTTATTTAGTATGTATAGCAAAGCGAACCGAGTAGAAAGTAAAGGTCACTGAACGGCAATGGAGTCGAATATTGTGTCAAGCTTTCGTGACAGGTAGTGTCTCATGCATGGAGATACAATCACAGCTGTTTTACTCATTTGAAATTGATTTTGATTACAGAAGCTCAAGTATCCAAAAGCTGTATTCTTCATCGTCACCAATGAATTCTGCGAACGATTCTCCTACTATGGAATGCGAAGTGAGTTCATGTATTATATTTACGTTTTAACATACACTGTATGTAACTTATACATTCTTATTAATGTACTTTTATCAATTTTACAGCAATTCTGGTGTTGTATCTACACAACAAACTCAACTATGACGATGATACAGCTACTGTCATCTATCATATTTTCACTATGCTCGTATACTTCTTTCCATTGTTGGGAGCCATGCTTGCAGATTCTTTACTTGGAAAATTCAAAACGATATTTTACGTGAGCATGATTTATGCCGTTGGACAATTGCTTCTATCAGCAAGTGCAGCGCCGCCGCTAGGGTTGCCAACAGCGTGAGTATCTTGTATAAATTTTCATTAGTTTTAAAGCATAAAAATTTTAAAGAATTATTAAACAATTTCCATCCACGGGATTAAATATTTTGTGTGAATTGCAGAGAAATTTCTTTCGTTGGTTTACTTCTAATTGCATTGGGAACTGGTGGAATAAAGCCGTGTGTATCTGCTTTTGGCGGTGACCAATTCATCCTGCCACAGCAAGAACGCTACTTATCTGTCTTTTTCTCCGTATTTTACTTCGCTATTAATTCAGGATCATTGATATCCACTTTCGTTACTCCAATTCTAAGGAGCGACGTTTCCTGTTTTGGGGAGAAAACTTGTTACTCATTGGCATTCTTCGTTCCAGCAATTCTCATGATATTTTCCATAAGTATGTTTATTTTTAAAATAATGAATTTAGAAAATTAATTTTGAGGTGATTGATTAAAGTTGCTCTATTCTTTTGTCAGTTATCTTTAGAATAGGGAAGAACTTGTACATTATCAAAGATCCTGAAGGAAACATTTTGTTTGAAGTGAGCAAATGCATCTGGGTAAGTTTGGTATATTTTGCATGGATCAATTGGATTGGCAGATGTTTTATGGAAATGTAGGATTATTTGTTTTAGACATATAAGGAGAAATAAGTGTACCCTCGAGTTATACAAGATTTGTAGAGAAAAAGTTCCAATTACTAACTTTTTAATTAATATCACTACTTAACATTTTACTTTGCTTTCTCCTTGATATTTCTAATGTGATAGCGATAAAGTGACTTTAAGCTCATTGATAAATGTAAATAATATGTTTTTTTCTATTGGAAAAATATGTAGCATGCAATCAGCAAGAAGTGCTGCTCGAAGAAAGTACATAGAGAGCACTGGCTTGATCATGCTGATGATAAATACGACAAAAAGCTTATTGAGGACATTAAAGCAGTCGTACAAGTTCTTAAGCTTTTCCTTCCTCTACCAGTATTCTGGGCCCTTTTCGATCAACAAGGATCGAGGTGGACATTCCAGGCTACAAGGATGAATGGTGAACTGGGTAGTTACACTATAAAAGCTGATCAAATGCAAGTCGTCAATCCACTCCTGATTCTTGCCTTCATTCCACTCTGTGAAAGTTGCATCTATCCGCTTTTGACAAAAATTAAACTCATTAATACTCCATTGAAGAAGATGGTGACCGGTGGATGTTTGGCTAGTTTGGCATTCATTGTTTCTGCTCTGGTTGAATTGAAATTGGAGGTACACAACATTTTGTTACTCATTATATGTTCTTTTCTGTTAATGAGGTATTTCAACTAATTTTTTTCTCTAGCCAACGTACGCGGTAACCCCATCTGCGGGTTTTGCGCAGTTTAGAATATTTAATACCTTGAATTGTACCATTCCTATGACTATCGGCAATGAAACAGTCGCCTTAAATGGTCTAAGCTATTGGGAGGATAAGTATGTTGAAGCATCCGGTAAAGCATCTGTGAGTTACACAGCTAGCTTTGCAGCTTGCAGTTTAGTAGGACTTTCAAATGAGATTGGTCAATCTTCAGGTATAGTTTGAGAAAATATTGTATACCAAAGTTATGAAATTTTATATATTGTGTGTAACTATAAGTTAACTTCATGTTGTAGGAACTCTTGAAGGTCCAGAGGCAACAGCCACATCCTGGGCAGTAACGAGAACCGGATTAAGTTACCAATATGAAGATAAAGTTGATAAAACAAAGACTGGTAAACCAGCTGTGCGCGGTTTAATTTTTTTAGATGGCTACATGTCGAATACGGCTAGTCTACGGTTTATAAAAAATTCAAAAACGGCGTTAAATTTAAAAATAAATTCGACATTCAGCGAATCGAAATTGATGGAACTTGACGATGGGACTTATGACATTTATCTGGATAATGATTTAGTTCAGTCATCAGTAGCTATGAAACTGGGCGGTATTTACACAGTCGTAGGATCCTTGTCGAATTCGACTGCTAGAGCTAATACAATAACAGTAACAGAACCAAATTCCATGCATATGTTATGGCTAATTCCACAGTACGTTATTTTGACGCTGGGCGAAGTCATGTTCTCAATAACCGGATTGGAGTTTGCTTTTACGCAGGCTCCAGTCAGTATGAAATCCATTTTAACTGCTGGCTGGCTACTGACCGTCGCTTTTGGAAATCTTATTGTTGTTATTGTGGCGGAAGTCTCTTATTTTAACAGCCAGGTATACAAAATTTTAGTGTTTTATTTTTACATTAAAACTATTACTTCAAATGTTCTGATCTGACATACATCTTTTATTACAGGCCAGTGAATTCTTTCTCTTTGCTGGACTTATGCTTGTCGACATGCTGATATTTTCCCTAATGGCCAAATTTTACAAATACGTCGAAATACCTGACGACGAATCTCAAAATGGAGATATTGCATTGGAGAATAAAACAGGCACGGTAAACGAATCCTTCAGGGGAGATGATGAGAAATAATAATGGATATTAACCACATGAAAGCGAAGAACATTTTGTTCATGCCAAACGCGTATTGATGTATATATTTTAGAATTTTATTGGAGTCGCCGTAGGAGATAATGGTAAAGAGAGCCAACTGACGAGTGAAACCCAACTCTGCGCCCAATAACTCTACAGAAAATTTTCGATTCTCTGCACGATAATTTTCGTGTAGAGTTAGTGTTTGTCAAAGTGGCCTGTGCAAAGTTAGGTCCCACTCTAGTCGTACGTGTATTTCATGTCTGACACAAAACTTATGAAAAATCAATCCCTTTCTAAATCTCTTATACTAATTTAAGTGTAGGTCTTATGCATACCGTTCTCAGTAACTGTCAGACACACAATTCTATAAAGCTGGTGCACCTCTTCACTCGTATTTCCTCGGTGTTACAGTTGTACATAATTGATACTCAGAGACTATATTCATCTGGATTGTGTATAGAGTACCTATTATTCATAATGAAAATAAAAATTATTTAATACAATTTTTTTGAATAGTTTTTAAGCAAAATATTTGCAGTTAAATTAATTATTTTAGAAAATATAATGTCACATTTCTTTTCTACATTTCTCCTGCTTTTGAGAACTATCCTTGCTATCCTTAACAACATTTATCTCATTCATAAGTGTATTCATATCAAATATAATACAATAGCCTGTTCACCCAAATGCTTAAGTAAAATTTAGTTCAGGATTCAGTATTCTAAAGTTATATGATGAATATCTGTCTCTTTCTCATACGTCACCACAGAATATATATGCAGATAGAGATTATAGAATAGATGCAAGCGACATCAGCGGGGATCTTAATAACCTCAAAACATAAAACAGAAAAAAACCATGCCAACAAGATCAGAACGGTCTCGCCGCTCATAGAAGGAAGTCGAGTCTGCTCCGGTGGACAGATCACGCGTAGTAGATATAAAATGTGATTGCTACAGTTGATATCCACGAAAACTAGTAAAAGCGCACGAAAATAGACACGCGTATTAATAGAAAGGTGCGTAATCCGCGATGATGTCGTGTCTCGAGAAACAACAGCAGAACCAGCAGCAAGCTGGTTTAGTCGAAAAGGACGGCATTGCGCCAGAGCTGATCTTCGAACTTAAGTGGCGGCCCGCCGGGAAATCGTCTAAGAGCAAAGCCGGTGATAAAATCATTCAACTTGGTATCTGGGACGCACCTAATGACTCCTCGTCACCACTCGATATCACGTCCTTCAGGTGTTACCTAGTGAGTTGTCTTTTCTTGCTTGTCCTTATAACAATTTTCTAACTATTTTACCGAACGCAGTACCGTCGTCGACTCACCCCCACTATTGGATCCTCTGATACCTGTACGACTCCATTTTGGTCGCATGTTTTTCCGCACAACGCAATTTCCCGAAATCTCGGATTTTCTCTGCACGGATGATTTTGCGTACTCTTAGTGATGTCATTCGTAACTTAACAAATTTTTCTTTAACGTACGGGATGTTTAGACATTATTGTTTTGTTATTAATTTTTTTTTACTTTTATACCCAGGGTAGAGAGTAATATGTAAAGTATATTGGTTCTTTAAATAAATTTGTACATTCACATTTCTCTAGTACCCAAGAATATTTTTTTAGCTCCGTGTAGCTTTATTGATTAGGTTTTTATTGAGATTATCATGAAATTAATATTGTTTATTATATCAGAAAACAGCTCATTTTGTGAGCAAATTCGAGGACGTTATCTCGCTTAATGAATTTATGAAATGTTTTCTGTTTCAGTGGGCTAATGTAGGATTATCTGAACAAGATTGTATCAGTTATGTTGACAGTGATGGTGATGAAGTCCCTATAGATTCCCAGTGTGAATTTCTTGAGGCTCTAAAGGTAAGTGATATAATTAATATGAGAGTACTACCAAAACTTAATGTAAGTTAAGAGAATGTAAATTACAGTTATTGAATTATGTATTTTAGTTTGCCAGATCCTGTGCTAAGAAAGATCAGAACGTTTTACTTCTAATTGATTCTGTCAATCAGGAAAACGTGAGTAGCCCAAAAACTATTGATTGGGAAAACGGAGAAATCAATTGTTCCAAGTCTCAGAGGTTTTTCAAATCTAACACCCCTCAGTTTTCTACAAAAAATACTATGGCTCCTATTACTGTTAGTACCATTACTGAAAGGGTTAGTCAGTTAACACTGGAAGAGAAATTGAATAATTCCACGATAGAGCTACCAACATCTATTGACACAACACCTCCACCATGGTTTAAGAATTACATGGAAATGGTAAATATTTTATATTAAAATTATATTCTCTATAAACAAACACTTGATGCTTTTTCTTTTTAGCTTAAAACGGACATAGTGACTGAAGTATCATCTAAAGTAATGTCCAATGTAATGGACATTTTGAATAAGAGATCTGAAGATCCCTCTCGTTCGAATTCCCATTATTCGTCTCGGTGGGAACGGCATTCTCGTGACCCTGAAGAAAGGTTGCATCACAGAAAAACGAAGAAAGTTACTGAAGAAGTAGAATTGACTAATGCTCTGCTGTCATCCGATCTACAGGATGAACACCTCATGTGGAAAGTTAAAAGGATCGAAAATCAAAAGAGAGCACTTCAAATAAAATTGGAACGTTTGGAACAGAAGACCCGGATGATTCTAGAGAAAAAGAAAAAGCGTTTTCGTGACGGTTCTGGGAACTCAAACAATTTGGAGGAAGCCAGTAAGAAGTCTGAAGCCTTGGAGGAATCAAAAAAGTCGACCCCAGTAAGGAATCCGCATTATTTACCAACTGAAACAGTGAACAATTCTATCGATATCAAGACCGAGGAATCCATGCCAAACGTCAGTAATAATCAGCCTGAAGTGAAACTTCGTATGAGCTGTTCTGTAACTGGACATGAAATGCTTGATAAATCCAATATAAAGTCCACGGATTACTACAGCGAATCAAACAGTGACAACATTAGTATAATTTCTAACATCAGCCACACTTCTGATCAGGATCACAACTTTGAGATGATCCCTATGCCATCCTGTATTGTTGGCAAGACTTCCTCTAGTGTTGATGGCGATTCAAAGGAGAAGATTTCCACCGGAGATAACTGTCTGCCTCGCAATAATCTTAATTTTGTTTTTTACGATGCTGAGAGTGACAGAAATAATAACATGGATTCACCCAGCTTCGAGTTACTTTCAGAACCGGCATCACCAGCATTATCGATTCATATGGACGAAGATCATTTTCACTCAGATGATAAGGAAATCGATACGTATGTATTGAGTTCAAATATCGAATTCAATGGCGAGGAATCTATTCCTAAGAGACTAGGATCACCATACGAGGTCGACTTCGAGGGGAAAATGTACAAGAAGATCCACAACGATTCCGACACGAGTATCGACGTCAATCTGGAGAAACGTCCTGGTGGCACTTATTCCTACATCAGCGAAACACTACCGATCCATAATATCGACCAGGAGGAACCAGCTAAGATGTTCAAATCAGATTGTGTTCTGGAAAGTCACCCTAAACAGTGTGATACAAATTTAGAAGCCAAATGCTGTCATGCAAGCTATGCTGCTAATACTGAACAATTCTTCAGTAAACCTAAGAAGGTCGAAATGAAAGTAGAAACGCCCAGAAAGTCACATCATGATTCCCAGGACCTAGGTAACGAGTCCACCGAGTCGGCACAGAGTTTCAGCTCTCATACAATCTCTAGCCCGGAAATCAATGCGTTCGCATTTGCAGAAGTTCACAGTGGTTCGTCTTATAGTACCCACAAGTACGTATTCGTCGATCATAACGCCAGCAAGGGACTTGGTGAAACGTATTCAAAGACCAACTCTGGTAAGAGTCAGGAGCCTACTAAGAACAAAAGTACGACGTCCACTAAGCATCCTAATGAATATCCCAACAAGAATTCTTCCTGTTACTGCACCGATCAGCCATATGGAGTTCGTGAAGCAACTTCTAGAAAATCTGCTCCAGAATTAGGTCTAGGTCCTGCAGATCCTGTTCACATTCTCCCAGAAACTCTAGTAACTGGAGCTGTGCACGTTGCGTCAAAGGCTTACATCACAGCACGGAAAGTTCTTAACAAGATTCGCACCCAATCGGTAATACTACGTGAATTAAAAACAATATGCATTCCAGGTGATACCCTGAGTTTTCAAGATTCTATGTTTCTGGGGATGATTAAAGTACCCCGGTCTACGTAAAGGAGTCTAAAAACAGCTTTTTTGAACAGCGCATTTTTCCTTTTATACTCTTTTCGTAAAACTTTAACATTCATATCCATATACTTATAGTTATCCTAGTCCACTTTACCCTTTATACATCAAATATATCTTTCACAAACATCCTGTGCTTATTCTTTTATTCAACTACTACAGTAATAGTAATAACTTTAATTTTAATTTATTACAAAGAGTAAAAATTAGTTATCGATGTGACTGCCTTGCATGCTCTTACCTATTTAAATTTTTTTCTTTGTATAACAAATTCTAATCCCTTCAGATGGATGAAGCCCAGAAGATGAAAATGGGTTGGTGATCAGCTCCAAGAACAAACTGTCTGCAGGAAGAAGAATGAAAGAAAAACAAAAAGGATACAAAAAAACAACAATTTCCTGCGACAACTTGCACCCTGCCGTGATCCTTTACTTCTGCGAACGAATCCCAATAAACCACGGCGAATTCACGAAAGCTAAATTATTTATGGACCGAGAGGTAAATTAAGTAAAGTGAAGCGAAACGTTGAGGTACATTATTAATAACTTAAGTAGTATCGAACGTTAATTTATCCAAACTAATTTCATATCCTAATTATATCTTATCTACGTGTTGCAAAATCTCGGTAGGAGCGTTTGTAAAATAATATTCTTGAAAGGCGTAAAACAATGAGTCCTACACTGCTATTCCCGCTCTTGCTACATCTTCGACTATTATATTTATTCATTTGATTGGTAATATAGCACTGGAGGATATCTGGATAAGTTTACATTCATGGTTCCCTTTTCCTTCTTTCTTGTCTTTTATATTAGACTTTTCAAATGATTGGCTGTGGTTATACGAAAAGTAAACGCCTGAGTTCGAATGAATATATATATATTTTCTATCTCGACGTAGAAACGAAAGATTCTCTTGTAGGAGAAACTCTAGTTTCCAAGGAGTATCGACGGTAATAAATAATATACCGATATATACCGTAGGCATTTAAGAATGGATTAAAGTTCTCTCTTAGAAAAAAACTTAATGAAAATGAAAAAAAAGAAAATAGAGAAGCGACAAATGATCAATTCTTAAGTGGTTACTGTGCAAATTATATTGTAGTCCATAGTCTACTGCGAATATGTAGAAATACACACGATTATCATAGAATTCACGACGACGAATAACGATAATCGCTATACGACGAGGTTTTGAGGTTTCAATTTAAAGAATAATAAAAGAGAACAAGTGATACTTAAATCTCATTGGAAATTTTCGAAATCTCAAGAAAAAAAATATAAAAAAAGGAAAAAATATTCACTGTCTTAACGATCGATCGTTTCGTATATTGCTAATCAGTGTAAATGCTTGTGTAACTAGACTATGACACAATACATGGCATTATTAGATACGATTATAATGTCTTATTATTCATATAATAAATGTATTATGGAAAATTTATTATATATATAATAAGTATACGTATATAGTTGCAAAAATACATAACGAGACGAATAAAAAGATAGACGATTTACAACGAACACGACAGAATAAATATTTTAAAGTTTCCACCCTTTTGAGTTAATTTAAATTTAAAACAAGAAAATTTTGTATAATTGACAGAACTCAATTGACAGCAGACATTGTATTTGGTGCCGCAAGAAACGTGTATCTTTTGCATAAGAAGCTTTAAATCCCTTAAGCGTTATCTTTAGTATACTTGGGGTAATTACGATTAAAAAAATTATAAAATAGAGTCGCAAGGGGTTAATATACGTGCAATTAGACACATGTGCAACTTCAATAACAAAGTAAGTTAAACGTGAAGTCAATCTGTAGAAAGGCGCAGTGATATGCTGGATAAAAAATTAAAAAAATAAATGTTGATAAAACAAAATGCTTGTGAGATTTTGTTATCTATTTCATTTACATGTATACATTAATTTGTTGATACTAGGCAATAGTTTCTTTTCTTTATTATTAGTAATGTTTATTGTTCTTAACTAAAAAATACTATTCATAGATTTCCCACTAAAAAATAAGCATATATCAAATAGTACACGTGTAAAAAATTATCGGTCGTAACTTTTAATTGGTAATATTTGGCTAATTATCTCTAAGATGGCACCATGGATATTATCCAAGAGGCGTTACTTCAGGTATGGGGTGTCACAGTACTCACACCACTGAAAATCGATGTTTAAGCATATTCTAATATTTTTCTCGATTTTTTTTTCATTTCTTGAGCAATTTATGAAGTTTCTATAAATAAAAGCTTAGGAAATAATTCAATTCGGAAGGTTAGATAAGTTTTGCGATGTACAGTTAGGAAAGTATGGTAAGTGACATGTGTGATAATGTTTTTCTTACCTACTAACGACCCATTTTGATAACTCGGGTTATTTAGAGCGTGACTAAATATAAATAGATTGGACATGCTCGTGTATTTTATATCGCACGATTCGGCTATATGGAATATATATATCTGTATATGGCATTTCAATTGGAAAAGTCGATCCTTAAGTTTCCATGACACCCCAGCTCGCGCGACACCATATCCCATAAGAAGATATTTACCCCTTCGTTCAACGCTGAGACACCCTACGCGACTACTGGCGCGTTAAGCGGCAATCGGCGAACTAAACTTTAAGAGCAAATAAATTAGATAATTCTAGACTATATAACAGTTACTTATACATATGTTGCTATTAGCATTGAGTTGATTGTTTGAAATACGTAACTTGTGCATCTATACCTTAAAAAACTAAGTATACAGGGTGTCCCAAAATTACCTGACCAACGGGGTATGACGGTGTTCGGGAGGCACCACTGATCACGAAAATGACCTTCTTTTTGTCCGGAAGTTCATAGTTTTTAAATGGGAGCAGGTCAAACTTGACCAATCAGAACGAGGCGTCAAGAGAAACGTAGGCACCTGCGAACTCTGAGTTTTCTTCCCTCGCTTTTGTTTCTCGGTGGCTTCGGGCAGGCTGACGTCAGCCGAAGACATGCCTAATGGAAACAAGAAACAAGCTACCGAAAAACAAAAGCGAGGGAAGAAAACTCAGACCATTAGGCATGTCTTCGGCTGACGTCAGCCTGCCCGAAGCCACCGAGAAACAAAAGCGAGGGAAGAAAACTCAGAGTTCGTAGGTGCCTACGTTTCTCGAGTTTTCTTCCCTCGCTTTTGTTTTTCGGTAGCTTGTTTCTTGTTTCCATTAGGCATGTCTTCGGCTGACGTCAGCCTGCCCGAAGCCACCGAGAAACAAAAGCGAGGGAAGAAAACTCAGAGTTCATAGGTGCCTACGTTTCTCTTGACGCCTCGTTCTGATTGATCAAGTTTGACCTGCTCCCATTTAAAAACTATGAACTTCCGGACAAAAAGAAGGTCATTTTCGTGATCAGTGGTGCCTCCCGAACACCGCCATACCCCGTTGGTCAGGTAACTTTGGGACACCCCGTATATACTATGAGGTATTTGAGTTTTGTTAGACTCTGGTGAAAGCATAGTCCACATGATCTTTTAAAACTTGATTCTGTGAGGAAAATAAATCTAACAAACAAAAAAGAAAAAGATAAACACCGTCGAACCATGTTTATTTGAACAGTGATTACTACTTTGCCCAATTTCTAAGGAGTCATAGTACATCTGTAAGTTATGCATATAATTATTTTTTCTTAAAATTTCTTTCCGTATCACTCTTTATTATTCAGTACTGTAATATTACTAATGTGTTATATTTATGCGATGCCAACAACAGCATCAATCACAATATATGTATATATGTATATAACGCAATTAACAGAACCGTAAAATTCCAGTTAAATTTAAAATAGCATTCTCTAAACATTCATTCATCCATACTCACTCGATTTGTATATAATTATTCGTAGTTTTTCGTTCATAGTTTTATTCACGACTGACCTCGTATAGATCCTGGAGTTCGTCTGGTGGTATTTCAGTGTTATAGGTGCAGTCGTTGAAGTTGATTAATTTCTTATGGCATTTACCTCCATCCATTCGGTATTGGCCATAATTACTTTGAATGGTATCGTAAAATCGTCCTAATATAATGGCCATGTTGCTTAGGAGTTTTGGCTCGCTTTATACAGAAAAAGGAAATAGAAAAATATCACTATTCGAGTGAACAGTTATAAAGCTATTAAATTCACCGAGTTACCTGCCGTGCTCCGAAATGTGACACGTGTGCCTTGTGTCACGTCTAAAGGCAAAAGGGAAGAGTTAGGCGGTTGGAGGCTCAACTTAAAGTTACACGACAAGACACCAGGAGGGGGTAAATATTTCGATTGTCACGCTATATTATGGTCAATTCTAAAATTACCTGGTAACTAGTCGATAATCCGTTACACACAGCATTTATTTTGTCGAACGACGAACCATTGAGTATTTACAAACTTTTCATAAATATTACACGGTATATTACATTTATGTATCTTAGGAATACATTCCGTTATGTTTTTAGTCCCCCTTTGAAAATTCTCTTGATGGAGTCCTGGATGAATTCCAACTATATTTTAGTATGAACAAGGACTTCTCCTGCTATTATTACTCCCCTATGCCAAAGTCTGTACAAAAGTAGGTACGAAAACGTCTTCTGGACGATATATTGGACCATCTTAATTCGTTTAACAGGCAAAGGGATCCAAAAAAGAAACAAAGTGGTAGTAGCAATATGCAGAGAAGCTCCTTTTACTTTTATAAATTCCTGTAAAAAAGAAGTTACTCAGTCGTTCAAAAACAATAGATCCTAGAACATTTGCCGGACTCGTCGGCTATGCTGTCTACATTTCTGGGTATCCTATTCGCGTGACGACCTTCGAGCTTCTCCGGTGTGTCAGTTCCGGGTGCATCATCCGTACTACCGTCGTTAGATGCGACGTAGATCACTCCCACCGGATGAAGATCAGGAAGGCGGCCACTTTTCGGATGTCACGCGGGTTCATAGAATGACTGTCCTCTCATGGGATTCGACCTAGACTCCGTACAGGCCAGACTGGTCTCGTGGAATCCTCCTGGAGATCCGGTCGGCTTTGAAGGGTACTGCGAGTCTCTCCTGTTAAGGATGGTATCCTCCACGACATGGGGAACATTCCTAGTCATGCAGAAAAACGACCAGACATAAGCCATGTATTTTTTTTACTTGTTTGCCTCCATCCTACGTAACTCAAGAACCCAAATGTTTACGGTAGTCCGATTTACCGCAAGGAGGATACGCTTATCCTTGGGCGTATCTTGCGTTCCTTCCGAATTCAACTGAAAGCCGGCCACTAGATAAAGGACACTTTATTAATCGCTTGACAGGGGACTTGATAAAGGTCCTTTTACTATCTGATAGAAAAGGGTCCTTTTGAATCGTTTTGCTTAGTATTATATCTTGCGTGCTTTCAAGAAAATCTCTTATAATCGAGATAGTATTAATTTCTAACTTATTGTAGATATTTAATAAAAATTATTGTTTTAGATCTTAGATTCCAAATGAAGAGACGTCAGAAGAAGATGGTATGTACAATGAACGAAGAGCGAAAATCGAAGAATAAAGTATATATATATATATTTTGTATAAAAACTTTATGAAAATATCTTGATTATACTTACCTTTTCTTTTGTATGGTAGATGTTGAAGTCAGATCCAAATTTGCCTCGATAGCGGTTATGTCGTCTTGATATTTCGTCCTGGATGCATGTAGCTCCCTGTGACGATTTCTACGTCCTTGAAATTGATGAAACACCAGTTTGGCAAGAATCATGCCAAGCGCAACTAGGATTCCGGAACAGACACCAGCAAGGACGTAAAACATACTCTCGTGTTCATCCCTATCCTGAGGTGCATGTCCAGCAGCACCTTCTAGAGGAACAGAAAGTAAAAGTCGGTTTCATACTTAAATCATTACTTTTTAAAAGCGATATCGAGTCCTTTTTTCATTATAAAAACCAGCTAAGAACAATTGGTTTACCGTTGGATAGGGGCGGCCTTAGAAGAGGATTCCTGGAGGAGGGTTCAGTGGTGGCGGAAGGTGGCACAATCAAACGAGGTCCTGGGCTGAAAGCCGTCCCGAAGACAGCATTATCGAAATGCTTCTCCTCAAGAAGCTGAAGCTCATTAGGGTTTTCGTCCTCGTCCAAAGGCGATTTCAATTTATACTCATCGGTAAGGACTCCGTAGGGCACTACGGTATGATTATCGCTTATTAGTATGCATGTAATACTTTCATATTTCTATTTATTTCCCTTATTTCTTTGTTTTTCGTCTTTGCTTCCCTTCGATTCTCATCCCCCTTGCACTTTGTGAAACATGTTATGAACATTTATTTGCCATCACGGCATGCAAATATCACGAAAACAACATGGGACGTTAACCCCTGGGAATTTGCCACCGAAATCCGTGCTCATACATAACAGGCTTTTGATATATTTGCTTAAGCAGGTAAATCACAGAGCGTGATATTTTTACTTTTTGTTCTGCATTCCTATCATTGTTTTCGTTTTTATATTTATCAACTTGTATGTCTTACACATACGCGAGCTTTTGCTAGAAAAAGTTGTAAACTGTTGAATATTCTCAGGTTATTGTACGTATACTATGTGTATAACGAGACCGCTAATCTTTCTATGGAACGGCCGAACGGTTATCCGGCAGAACCAGAAAGTCGTGGGTCCCATAGGAAGTACAGCCAAATGGAATAACGGGTCAGTGGATGCAAAAAGTAATAAAGGACGTGGTAACTGCCGGATACGCTGAAATCGAATACTGCGCGAGCACATAGAACAACCCAGCTTACTTGTGGATATATGTATAACGTGCTGAACCATAGCTGTGTCTAAGCGGGAATGAATGAGCGCGACAGAGACGCAGAGAAAAGAGAGATGGGGAACGCGAGAAAGTAGTAGAAAAGATACGAATATAGTCAGGACTTTTGGTACGAGGGTTTACGAATCTGAAGAAAATTAGTTGAAATCCTGTTGGAATAAGTGGAGTAGCACGGGACGTTTTAGATATATTAATGACATGCCTGATATTTCAGTTAGACTCGAAGTAGGCTGGGACGAAAACATGGCAGTACAATAAGCACTTCAAAAAATGTTGAGACCTAGAAGGACCTGTAACGGGATCCTAAAACACTCTTGTGTAAGGGATCTGAAGTATACCGCTGTGCATCTGTATTTTTTTTTAAGAAATAAACAACGATTTGGAGAAAGCATGAAAAAAATGGAAATAGGACATCTTCAAAATTAAAGATTTATCTGAACTCCAAGTGGAAGCTTCCAGCATCCTGTTTGTGAAAGATACAGTCGGCGTTCAATAGTTTTATGACAGATCAAAAACGATGAAGTCTCTAACAGGTCACAAGTGGTTTTGCTTTGAAATGTACAATATTTTATTTTTTTACTTCACCATATATTTCCTTGCATGATTTTATGAAAAGCCACGTATGATTTGATAAGAATTTTTATGCGATTAATTGCATTGTTTGCGAACTGTCAAAAAGACACATTGAACGCGTGCACTGACTCTACACTCTCTAGATACTCTACTCTCTAAGATAGTCAGGAGTACAGCTACCTCACGCATTACAAACTTTGAATGAAATATATATATACATATATGTATATGTGTTACAGAGAAACATTGGCGAGACACTATGGCACCAAACGGAGTATACATAGGAAGACCTAATTCACCAGGAGTTGAAGAGCACTGTATCGCTCGTACTACTAAGAGTACTACTAGTAGTAGTAATATGCCAGGAAGTCGTACACGGCGTGGAATACCAGTAGACTCCCTGGGGAATAAATAGAGCCATAAACCCGGCTGTTTGCCAGGCGGCCCTCACGAATTCTCATCCAAGTACTTGAGTCCCTTGTTGGCATAGTTCAAGGAGCACACGGTTCCGCTCCGCCATAGAATGCGAGAACTCCACTTTAACGGTACAACGAGCAAGCGAAACAATGCTATCCTTTGATCGGATTTCGTTCTCTAATCAATATCGATTCGCAAGACTCGATTGCACGGTAGTCACACAGATTTCCCAAGATATTTAGTATTAACTGGCTATTTTTTTTACTTCGTTAACTATAAATATGTTCGTGAGTAATCTATCTTCGTGAAGATTATTTTTTAGAAGATTATCCTTCTTACTCAATATGAATCAATCAATTCTATATCATTTCAATTATTTATAGTAAACCTTTTGACAGGAGAAAAAAGTTCTTTATGGAGATTGTCCTGATGTAATGCAACTCGTCTTTCAGAATGAATTAATAAACCCTTTCAATTAGTGTGCTAACCCAGATAGACAGATATACATAAATTTTGCTGCAATTTTACCTGAAATTGAATCACGAAATATATAATGCTCACCTGACAGTCACATTTGCTAAATTAAACGATGAAATTATAGTGTAAGAACAATCGGTAATGTTGATTATACCTGATTGCTTCATTCACTGTGCCAAGAAAGAAAAATAACTTTATCCTCTTCATAATCTACCAAAGTATATAGTAAATATGGTTTAAGTGTACCTCATATCATAATCGAAAAGAATTTTTATTTAACCTCGCCATTGCTTCGTATTTACATCATCCCGTGATCGTTCAGTAAAAGCCGCACATGACTATATTCTGTGTAGAAAATTTGGTGGATTAAAAGGGTTACCTAGAAGTATTACTTTGCTATATGCATTTGAGAGATGCACTATATTTGCGAATTGATTGTTCCACGTCCTGCCACCTAGCGGACATATGTACATACTCCGAATCAGTCAGTCTATTTGAAAATTAACTCACCGCAAGTGTATGCTACGGTGAGGTACGGTTTTGTGTTATCGTGCTCGCAAGGATTTTTGTCCTTTGATCTCACGAATAATTCAGGAGTCACTGTTATGTTACAGCTTTTGCGACCGTGGCAAACTTCTTGAAGACTCTTGGTTCCGCTCTCAATGATGCACGCTTCAAAAAAGGTAAACCAAGAAATCATTAACAACGTATGTAAGAATCTAAATGAATCCAAAGTTTTAAAGTAAACTAACTAATGTACAGTGGGAAGAAAAACTTACTTTCTTGAGGCACTTCGCGGGGCTGAGGACAGCGAAAATCCTGGTATTTTATTCTACCGTATGCAGCACTGTAAACGGCGACACGACTTCCAGGATTACAGGAAAGAGTGATGTTCTCTTTATCACAGCCCACGATGCTTCGAAATTCAACTGCAAACGTAAGTCAAGATTTAATAGTTTTAACGAAGGTATTATAGCAGTTAAGTGTGATGCAGAAAAATACAATCAAACAAGATAAATATCTTACAGGGTCCGCACTTGTAGGCTAATTCAATGAATAGAGGTCCTTCACGAAATAGATAATCCGTGCACGATCCGTCTTTAAGGATCTGACTCCTGGTGACTTCGCACTGTCCTTTATTTTGACAATTCTCCACAACAGTTTGCAGCAGAGAGTACTGTTCCAGCATCTGACAGAATAAATATAGGTACTATAAAATATTTATAGCTTTAAATTATCGATGTGTATCAGTATTCCACTCATTTTTTATTTTTTTTTCCCAGTTCGTTATAATGGTTACACTTTTTTTTTTTTGAAAGTTCAAATAAAGTTGCTAGAGATTCAATACTGTCCCTATCTATGATACATGTATTCTTTTTTTTTTATTCGTAGTTGTGCGCGATCCACCGGGAGAAGAGGGCGAGAATCATTCACGCAAGGGCGCTCACAGAAGAAGAAGTACCAAGATAAAAAAGAACACATGATCCCATAGTAGCCATTACTCTTCCTGAGGTACGATTAATTTCTTTTTATTTGCAAGTACAACTTCTCCTGACGTTCTTTGGAAACATTCCGTCCGCATATACAAGGATGTTTGAAAGTTCTCAGAAGACGCAGAAAGGAAAGGTTCTGTTGTCTTGTGAAGCCTTTGGAAATGTGTTGAGACCTTTTTCTAAGTTATCTTTTTTTCGACAGTCGAACAAGATGCTGCTGAAACGTGTACAGCCTCCATGATGCCATCCCGACATATGACAAGAATATCTGAGGGAGAGAGAAAGAGAGCGAGAGAATGTTCTCCCTCTATACCCCGAAAGCTTCAGAAACTGGGTTAATGGCTCTGATGATCGTGAGACTCTAGAGAACATCATCGCGAGCATCGTTATCCTTACTCTTGTTAAGTATCATGCATGCACACAGATGTGTATATATCTAACATCCCTCTATACCTTATATACAAGATGGTACACCTTACTTGCATCGTTGCACATTCTAATTACAAAGATATTTTCTAATTAATATCCATTGACGCTTCCGCACTAAACAGGAAGTTCCATTGTCACGCCGTAACCTAACCTAACAATAGTGAGAGGCACGCGACGAACTGGAAGCCACGCATAACCTAGAAACTGTATTACTGCATAATAACGTGTGAGAGAATAAAGAAAGAGGAAAGAGGCATATAAAGCAAATTAAAAGAGCAAGCAGGCAGAAACAAGGATTTGCTGGACAGACAGGATGATCTCGTCGTGACGACTGGATGTAGGAAAAAAGTTGGATAACGCAGATAAAGAAGAAAAGAAAGAAAATGACGCGTGTGAAAAAAAGCCAAAGGAGAAGTGTTGGTAAAAATTATGAAACGTTAAAAAAATGAATGGAAAATAAGAGAATGAGGGAAAGCAACAGCAGCATTGACAATGACAAAGTGGTTGGTTCGTGTATTCAGTTTTTTGTGGAGTTTCGAGTGGACGCTAATGTATGTTCTCTGACTGACGCGTCTAGTCTGGCCTTTGCGTACTACGCTATGCTACTCGCATTCATTTCTGAAAAATGTATTATTCATACTAGGGAAACGAACGGGCTTAATCAGCTAGCCAAATGGAGGGACCATCGGTGTGTTTCGTATTTGCTCGTAATGTCGTATTTGTTTTAATCACTCACGATTAAAGCGCGAATAGTTTTAATTTATTAATTTGAATCTCATGTTAAAGACATATAGACGTCTGTAGCGTGGGGCTGAACGCAAACAATAATTTCTATTTACAACTGTATAGTACAAATTTGAATAAGTTTAAATGAGGTTTTAGCTTTTATTACGTTATTACCGTAGCTTTACTGTTTACCGAACTGTCTACTCTTTTAATATATTTTCTAAAAGTGCCAATGATCGTACGCATTATTCATAATATTCATCTGAAGCTTGAATTCATTGTATGGAAAAAATCCCTGATCGCAAAGTTAAAGCGATTCAAATAGATCTTCATTTGGACAGTGAAAACTGAACTCAACAATTGAACGCCCTACGCAACAAGTGTCTTCTGGTTTTCTTTAATTGACTTATGTTGTTATCAATTATATGCATAATTTGATTTACATTTTTTTAATAGAAATAATCACATTGTTTTTCAATATAGTTGACTTGTTTTCCACAAAAGATCCTTGAGTTTATTTTGATTCTTCTTTTTTATTCCTTCATTTGTCTTGTTCTTTTTGAGTAACTTAACTTTAACTTCCGGTCTGTAATATTTGCTATGTTATTTTATATTCTGTTTTGTCTATCTTGCTGAACCTAATGAGCGGCGAGGCTTTATTTTCGACTTTTATTATTATCACATATTCGTACACTGCCTAGTATTTCAAGAAAGTATATATAAACTTGAATGCACTCATCAAAAAGAGGTACAGTAATGCAATTGTTATCCCTATATAAACGGCAATACAAATGATGAAACGAGAAATAAAAAAGAAATATAAAAAAAGCTTTGACCATCTTTTGAAAGGATCTATGTTTTTCTTTTCCGTCTGCGCTCGTAATCTACCAGTAAATATTCAGTCGACTCTCGGAATCTCCCTGTGGAGTATTTTTCGCATGCAGTCGCACATGGCCATTCGTTTCATTTTTCTTTTTTTCCTCATTTATCCTATAATTCACAAAAATAGTAGATCTGACCATTTTTACGTCGATATATCGCGTATCCAGACAGGTACCCCAGTCACCATCTGCCCGGGTACACCATCAGTTAGGTTATCCTTGAGGAATTTACCATCCGTAAATTTAACGGCTGCTACACATTGAGCCAGAGACAATTTTTCGGATTTTGCGTTTCTCGTGTATTCACTGCTTCTCGTTGCTGGCGACACACACGAATTGACATCCTTTACTGATCGCTGCCAAGGGTGAGAAGAGCCTCTATGATTTATTGGCGACTATTTTTCGCCAAAGCTTACTTTTCCTTCAGGGGATCAGCGTGTAATAAATACACATTGTGATATATATGCCGTGTACCATGTCCTTCCACTGATGTGAGAAGCGATAGGCAAATCAGCTTAAGGAATCGAGTAGAAGGGCTCGCCGAAATTTTTCTCAGCTAAGTCCGTGGTATTCGACCTCTCATCCTTTCTCACCTTGGCAAACAAGACTACTTGTTAAGACAAATATGCGAAGAAAAAGAAAAGTGGAAAAAATATAACAGATCCCTTGGAGGATAATGACTCTACTTTTTCACCTTTTTTTGTCAAGAAAACAAGTGTCGATCAGTAATCTTTACTGTGCTGATAGCGAAGTTTGCAAGAGTCGCTTACATAACGGATTGAAAATTCACGTGCAGTGTTCTTTTTCATTCATTTTGGTTTTCCTAAGTCGCCGAAGAATTACCGTGTAAGATGCCATGCAGTATGTCGCTTGAGGAAGCTCCAGATTTTTTGGATTTCGCGTAGAGGACACAGGTGTCCTTCTTTAAAGTGGATTACAAGGTTAAACCGCTTATAGGAACCTTAATGCGATGGCACTACCCTTCTATAAACCGCCTTAGAGTTTTACTTTACCACCCAGCAATACCCTATCTTAGCCATACAGACTGTGTAAAGAAAATACACAACGCTTTATGTATGGTTATGCTTCATGAGCTCTCTCTCTCTCTCTCTCTCTCTCTCTCTCTCTCTCTCTCTCTCTTTTGCGTTACTGTACATTTATATACTGCAGAATCTTATCGCTGCAACCTTCCATTATGGAATGTAACCTTATAGCTACCGTTCAATCAGTTTTCAAGATGGGATAGATGCTATATTACGTACTGTTATCTAAGCTATACCGAAACATCCACCTATCCGTGTTATAAATCGATCAATGTACAGAGAACTCTTGACAATTTTCTTGAACGGACGAAATTTTATTTTCAGAGATTTTCCCGTCAATGATATGTATGCATTCAACTCTCTTGTTATGTAGGATCTGTTTCAAATCCTTACCAAGAGCGGGAACGAAGTGGATATGGAACCGTAAGAGAATACTTAAATATTGAAATATTTATTATTTGCCGTTCGAATCTGGCCATTATTGTCTAGAAAAATATATGAGTATTATATGCTAAGATTATTGATCTCAGATGGGAATCTCTGAGGACGAGGGCTCTGTGTTCGTGTAAGCGAGAAAATGTGTTTGTTGAGAAAAATTGTGGAAAACATAAAAAGGTCCGAGGACGATATCCTGTAGGATATATATAGTACATAGTGTATACAGCTCGCGGTAAGGATAATGGGGATTCAAGAAGATTCTCAGAGAAATTCCAAGGGAACGTATTTCTGGTTGAATCCAGTTAACGGCTGTCTAGTATTTGAAGTAGCGTCGAAATGATATATCTTGATTTTCTTTCTCTTGTCCTTCCCAGAGATACGTTCATGCCTCGCAGAATGATATCGGGGTGCTCGACGACGCTCTCGAGGTAACGCTGAATTATTAGCGTGCGACAGGAGGAGGACACGGAGGGCGAATGAGCAATGAGACTGAGAAGAGAAAACGACTGGCTGAAATATTCAACGTCCTGACCCTCCAGTCCACCTTCTTTGGAGAATGAAATGAAAGAGGATCGTTGTCCAGTGCAGGTGCATAACAGTGTACTCATTTATAACGTGGATGATCACGATACACAACCCTGGGAGTTGAATGCGTCCTTGGGGTGCGAAATTGTCCAAGCTTAGACAGGTATTTTTTAAGGGTAAATTATTAAGTGAAAAAAATGCCATAACGGGATTCCCAAGTAGAAGGACTTGGAGAGAGGAGAAAAAATATGTATTAATTTCTCGTGCTTTCCTCGAGGGCTTGCTGGAAAGTTGGGTTGCTGGCCTGGAGGTGGAATATGCAATTTCTGTTAAATTATTCTACTCTCAGTATTTACCCACTTCTTCTTCTTATCCTCGGTACGAATTTACTCTCTTACTCCTGAGCTTTCAAGGAAATAATTATCCCACGGGTCTAAACTACGTAGTATACGGTCTACAGGCAAATGTTGCGCTTAAACATTTTCCTAGAAAACTGTTTACCTAATGAAATCGTGCGCATCGAAACTGTTGCTTCCCAAGTGGACTGGGCAATATAGCTACGTAATGTCCAACTGCGAGAAAATTTCTAAGATTTAGAAGCAAATTGGTAAAAGATTAAAAAGACAGCTTAACGTGTTCGGACGTGGATAATCTCATGCGCACGTAGCACCGTCTTCGTCACGCTACAGAGTTTTATAGTAATATAATTTTTGACGTGCAAACAAAGTTATACGAATAAAATTTTTTATATATTTCTCATTACTTTTTTTCAGATTTGATTCGTCCAATGAAATCAACGTCTCTTTATTCACCTAATGGCTGCTCGATTATTCCAGCGAATGCTTCTGGCTATGTGTTCTCTTCTTACTTCTAAAGTACTTTGTACTGTGTTACTGTGCTCACCTTGACGACGTTGCTGCAATTCCGTACCATCAAGTCATTGTGTTTCTCCGTAACCGGATACAAGCAGGACGTTTGAGAAAGCATATCGGGAGAGTCCGTGTAGTGGGCCTGGGTGATTCTTATCGTGGTACCTTGAGGACATTGTAAAGCGATAGAGCCCGTCTCCAAGTACCTGGTGCACTCGAGGCGATGATGCGTCTCTAGAGTCTCGGACAGTAATGCTGTAAAAGGTAATTTTCTTTTAATCTAAGAGAAAAGGACTACCGAACAAAATAAGAGAGTTATGTCGTCGATGATCATCGGTTCGTGTTTTGCCTCTGTTGTTAAAGATAGTAATAGGAAAGGGTAGGAGCGACGTCGAGAGTCTTTCATCGAAACGTCCTGTGCAGTGACTTGTTTGACATTGATGCAGGCAGAGGAAAGAAAAATTTTGTAATAAAGTCTACATTCACCGGCGGAAGTGAATTACGCAGAAGGTGGGCTAGAAAGCTTCGTGGAAAATTGTACTCATATTGTTATTCTCATACGGTATAGGATTTTCCGGCAGTTCCACGGCTGAAATACGAGTTGATATCGCTACCCATATTTTAATATGGGTTAATATAGAGCGGCCAATGCCGGGAGGTCGTATCGCAAAACGCAACTCCCGTATTATTTCTATCCAGCCTTTTTGCCTTTCTGCTTTTCTGCTGTCCTTCCTTCCTTCCTTCCTTTATTCCTCCCTTCTGCTAACATTCGCCCGCCCATTCATATCCTCTTTTTACTGATTCAGCCCTGCTGCCCATTCGACCTATATGCGACTCTATCCTTTTCCCTTGACAGTCTCACTTTATTTTTTCTCACTCTCTCCTATTGCGGCACCATCTCCCCTCTGCTTCGTGCCCGCTTCTCTGGCAAATTGAGAACGAAATACTCCGTAAATCTTGGAATTTAATAAAATTCTTAACGGACTTCTAACATTCGTTTAATCGCTGACATATGACCAGATGAATTTATTTTTATTGGATATCCTATAGCCAACAACAGTACAGAGTGAACAATTTTCTTTTAGATTTAAAACATCCAGTAAACTTCTCCATAAGAGTCTGTGTATTATTTTCTTTTTTCTTTTCTTAACCGAATCCATCAGTCTGGCCGTCACAGGGGGTAACGCGTGCATATCGACATCTCCTAACCTTTTTTTATTGATTTTGATAGATTTTTATCCAAGTATATGAACGTATAGGATGATTTTTCGAAAAGTTCAATTGTTATTTAATATTTTTATTAATAATTATCCATTTTTTATACTATGCATTGGTTAAAGTAATTTTTTTTGCTTCTCAACAGTCGCAAAAAGTTCTTCTACATTATTATGCCATGGAGCTAATAAAAATTACAAACAACACTTCTTAAGAAGAAAACGTTAATAGGAACTATATTCCAAATTCTATTTTGACAATAATGTTCACGTATTCTTAAGTTCTGTTTTTTTTTTATGAATTAAATGACGTTCACACGCAGCTTGAAGATCGACGACTTACTAGGCGTTACGCCTCAAGAAGGGAGCAGAGCTCCTCCGTTTTGATACCATTCAGCTGACGAAGCTTTACTTATTACATAATACTAAGGATATTAATATTAGAAAAGAAAAAAAAAGACGAAACGAACAGCTAAATAATGCTTAGGGCATAAAAATATATCGATATACTACTATCAGATTTCCAGAAAAACGTCATAGTTAACATACAAACATTCAATTTAAACAATTTATAGAATCTTTACGAAGTTAAATTGGCTAACAAAATTAAAAGTATGGCAAGTTTGTAAAAAACCTAATAGTTATTAATAAAAGCTGTTTGAAAAATCACCCTTCATATTTCTATTCGGAGGATTGAAAGCTATTAAAATCAATGAAAAATATATAGGCAACCTGCATATGCAGAATGGAACTCCTTTGAATTCCTGGACAAATAGAAGTACATTTTGTGTACCGTCTAAGGTAGCTCATAAACACTATGAAACAAGAATCCAGTTAAAATATTCAAACAAATTTTATTCTAGTTTATTGTTTAGCAGGTGTCAAAAGGGGCGGAAGTTAGTATAATCATCACCTGCCACGTAAGGCTATGTCCAAAAGAATAAAAAATAGAAGTAGACAAACTGTTCCATTATATGTTCAATCTTACTATTCTGTTCAACACTGTACAGTCCATTTCTGTGAAGCTGCATGTGATCTTCAATACTGCCCACGAAATGGGATATAAACTTAGGGTGGCAAGTGGCCATAAAGGTTTCTACATTTCTTTTTTAGAGCGGAACAGGAATCAAAATGATTCATCCGTTTACTGAGAGGGACATTTTCCGCAGTGAATTTCCTTTCCGAAGATCAAGATCCCTAATCTCCAGTTGCCATTGACGCAATCGATGAGATCGACTCAATAAATAATCTTTAAAGGTGGTATGATGTTTTATAAGTAAAAGTCAAGCTTAGAAGTTGGAAAAAGCTCACGGTAAAGGTGGCACTACTGAATTGTAATATATATAATTAGAGATAACGTACATCTGTTCTTAGCACGTACATTGAGTGTATCTTGTGTTTATAATACTAGGACCTTAATGTCTTCCTGAGGTTGGATAATGCCAGATAATTAAAATTTATAGAGCAATAAAAGTGAGGGAAGCAGAGGCAAATCTTAATCTCATTATCTCGTTGACCTACCAACCAAAAAGAGGTGACCAATGTATTTTTCACGTGCAATTTCGCAAGTATAATTAACACGACGCGACTCGAGCGGATTTAATCCACATATAATTAAGATTAGACAGAATTCAGGGCCCCTTTTTATTTTCACTTTGCACTGGCGAGACACGACCAACCCGTTACATAAGAAAATATTATTTTGCAGATTTTCAAAAAGCTCCACTGATACTGAGTTGGTAAATACACATTGCACGGCGGGAACCATCACAGTGAGATAGTTGATTTCTCCTGGGTCCGAAAAAGAAAGTTTAAAAATAGACCATCAAATATATGTATATAAAAGCAGATCGTGTGGAAGAAAGGTAAGGGCAAACGAATAAGAATGATATATATATATAAGCGGCTCGTTCTAGTAAGACATTTTTTTTTATAGATTTATACAAAAAAATTCATAAAATGACCTCTTCTTATTATATTTTGTAGGCCTTTACACCATTCGGTAGTTTTGCTTATTCTTCGTCTTCATTGCTCCCCTTACTGTCAACTACTCCATCACTTTATCAAGTACTATATTACCGTGTTACAGAAACTCTAAAGACAGTACTCTGTCTTATTCCAAAGTACTCTCTCTCTCTCTCTCTCTCTCTCTCTCTCTCTCTCTCCCCCCCCCCCCCCTCTG